GATCGAACACGTTGAGACGAAAAAGCGTTGTGTTGTAATGAACGCGCTGCGCGCAGTCGCGAACACAGCGTTGCGTATACAATCCTAACATGGAGGTCGTAGGGACGCAATATGCGAACGAGAAGCCCAAAGGCAAATCATTTTTGTAATCTTAACAAAGCCGCCCGCCTTGAACTGTCCTTCAAAAACAAAAACAAAATCTTATTTAATTTAGTGATAATCTAAATCGCAGAAAATTTGAGTCGTGACTAAAATATCTTAAACTATAAGTACAAAGCTTAACCTATAATTATTAGAATGAATTTCAATAAGGTGACAAGTAAGTGAAATGCTTTGGTGAGGCTAACTAAGTGGCGCCTAGATGAATGATGCTGTTACAAGTTTGTAATGGTTATAATATCGCAAGTTTTGTAAGCTCGCGGTCTGACGTAGGAACCCTTTATTGTTTTGACTGTGGTTGAGCGTGCACGTCATCGGATCCTAAATGCACTTCCTCGACTCGGCCAGTTGTCCATTGAGAGAGAACAGATCCTTGCTGCTTAATCAGAACTAGTTGACCGGGTTGCAATAGCTGATCCTTGGAAGTTTTCCATTTGTGTCTTTTTTGTGTTGAGATATTCGCTGCTTCATCTTTGCTAGAATTGTTGACGCTTTTGCTCGATTAGTTGCCAGCGCAGGAGTACATTGGTATTTACATTAGTTATATATATCTTGGTTAGGAAGGCCATATAATAGTGAGCCGACTAAAAAATGTCCAGGACATAGATAAGCTAAATCGTTAGCGTCAGAACTGAATGGAACGAGTGGTCTACAATTTAATATCGCTTAAAGAATGGTTTGGAGTTCTTCGAACGTTAAGTTTGTTGTTCCTAAGACACGAGCGAGATGGAATTTAGTAGACTTAACAGCGGCCTCCCAAAGTCCGCCGAAATGAGGGACGTTTAGCGGAATGCATGTCCAAAAAAAAACCAAGAGGTTTGTTGTTCGCGTAAGGAATTACTTACAAAATCTTGCGTTTTTTCGTGTTTGAGGAAATCATAAAATTCTTTAATTTGTCGTTGTGCTTCAACGAAGGTGATAGCATTGTCCGAGTACATTCGTTGTGGCCTTCCGCGGCGCAAGATAAGTCTCTTAAGGGCCGCAATGAATGCATCGGAAGTAAGGTTGCTTACAAGTTCTATATGAACCGCCTTGGTGGCGAAATATACAAAAATGGCTACATAAACCTTGCGAATACGGGAGTTGCGGCGTTTGCCCTCTCGCAATGATGGGGCCAGCGTAGTCAACGCTACAGTGCGAGAATGAACGTTAACATTAACTCTAGGCGAGGGTAAAGAGCCCATTAAAACTTCAGAATGAATCGGCTTGGCCTTAAAACAAATTATGCAATTATTAATTATCTTTCGTGTAGTTGATCGCAACGAGAGGGGCCAGAATCGCTGTCTAATAGCCGCCATAGTGGCCTGTAAACCGGAATGCAAATTGCGGAAGTGCTCTGATTCAATTATTCGTTTAGTTAGTACGTGATTTCGAGGCAAAGGGATTTGATGGTACATGTCGAATGAGAGAGCTAAATTTTTTAGTCTTCCGTCAACTCTTATTAATCTGTCGCTTCCCATGAACGGAAATAAGGAAGCCAACTCGCTAGATCCATTAATGCTGACTTGTTTACTCAATGCCTTATAATCGCTTGAGAAGGACTGAACTTGAACAACTCTGCATATGACGCGCAGGGAATTTGAAATTTCATCAGGAGATACATTGGTCCTTAGAGGTCTGGAATGTGAGTGATGGCAAAACCTAAGGCAATATGATAGCATTCAACATGCCTTATTAAGATTGGAAAATTTGCTGACTAAGTGTTCAACGACGCTACAGTCGTTTATTAGTGATGCAATAGTGGATATCCGTTTCTGTTCGGGAATTTCACTCTGGTTAAGAGGATCCTAAAGCAACGGGAATGACCGACAATTACAGTGAACCATTTTCTTCGAATTGGCTTTATAGATCATGAAATTTTTTCACACGATGAAAGTGACATCAAAATGACATGTGTAATGCCAAAATTTGATAAGAAAATTTTTGTAAACCTCAAAAAAGCCCTTTTTGGGTCGCAACTGATATTCTCTAAATTCATCTCTTTATGTAAGCTACAAATTAACCATGTTTCATTAAAATCGGTGAGTGACACCTCGAGAGGTTTTCCCTTGTAAGTGAATGTTAACCTCAAGTGACAGCTGTACGTGTCAGAAAAAGTGAATTTTTTAATTTTTTTCCGATTTTCTGGTTAAATCATGTTTACCAGGATATCTTTTCGTGCGTATTCTGTGAAAGGATTTTGCAATCCGTAAAGCTAATACGAATATTTCTCCTCAAATATAATCGTGATAAAACAGGACGATTTTAGGATTCCCTTAATGCCAATAATTACACAAGAAGAACGATTTTATGGAAATAATTTATAAATAAATAGTGGATCCATTGATGGATCCACGGAAGAGATCATGAGAGTTATACCTCCTTGGAGCTTTTTTGTAATAAATATTTTTACAAAATGTTATATACCCAGATAACAGAATACTAGCAGTATGCCAGCAAACTTGATGTTACAGCAGATATCAAGCTGCTGCTTCCTCATTAGCTTAGTTTTTAACAGCTTAGCCTGCCAACGTAACACAACAATAAAAATACAACAAAAATCAATCATTATTTCCTATCACATCGTGACAGCGAAACGCGTAAAAATACAGCATAACCTGACATAACCAGTACTGACAGCAAAAACACAGCAAAAATTGAGTCTGCCATCACGTCGTGACTGCAAAAACGCGGCAGATATAGAACGCGATCTGCCTAAATAGCTATTGATGGCAAAAACGCAGCAAAAATCGCGCATAGCCTGCCGTCACATGTAATCGCAAAAATATAGCAAAAAATGAAGCAAAAAATGACGTTTCAAATAATAGGTTAATTTAATAAAATTTATAAATATTTTTAGTTTAGAGAATTAAATTGTATGTATATATATTAGGAGTATAAATAAGTTTCCGCCGTTTTTTTATAAAAAAATTGGGCATTTATTGTGAAAGAACAGTACCTAATGTTTTATTCGAAGTATTGTCTATCATTAGCCACTACTTTTTCCCATCTTTCTGGTAATTGGTGGATTCCACCATGGTCGAAGTAACAAGGTCTGCTCGTATCCATGACAAATATTCGTCCGGTTCTGCGCAGGACTGAATTCCGCCATTTCGACCATGGATTCCACGTCGAAAAAACTGGTCATCTTTTGAAGCTATCCACGAATCGACCCAATTTTTGGTATTTTCATATGAAGTGAAGTGTTGCTCAGACAGGCCATGCGCCATCGATCGAAACAAGTAGTAATCAGAAGGAACAATGTCTGGTGAATACGGCGGGTGGGATAACCTTCCCAATTGAGTGTTTCCAAGTAGATTTTGACCGGCGCCACAACATGTGGACGAGCATTATCATGCAGAAGAATAATTTTGTCGTGTCTGGAGTAGTAGTAGGCGCGTTTTTCCTTGAGTACTCGGCTCAATCTCATCAATTGTGTTCGTCGGTAGAGGGCCCCAGTAATGGTTTCGTTCGGTTTGAGCAACTCATAATACACGATACCAAGCTGATCCCACCAAATACACAACATGAGCTTTTTTCCATGAATGTTCGGCTTGGCTGTCAATGTTGAAACGTGCTCCATGATTTCTTCTTCTTTGGGTTATCGTAGTGAATCCATTTTTCATCACCAGTGACTATACGATGCAAAAAAACCCTTTCGTTTATGCCTGGCAAGCAGCATTTTACATGTGAAAAATCGGCGTTCAACGTTTCTCGGCTTCAGTTCATATGAAACCCAATTTCTTTGCTTTTGAATCATTCCCAATGATTTTAAGCGATGTGAAATTCACTATATGCTTCTACAAGCAATCGATGCGCCTCAGCTGCAGATTTCTTCAAATTAAAGAAGTAAATCAAAAGCTCCCGCAAATGACGCTTATTCGGCTCAAAAAACTCGACATTTTCGCACGAAAAAAGATACAAAATCGCTAATATTTCAAGGTTATGTTGTTGCTAGATGTTCAACCTTACGATATGGCGTTTTACAGCAGACAATTTTAACCATAACATACTGGTGGCGCCATCTTTTGTCAAACGGCGGAAACTTATTTATGCTCCTAATATTATATCGGGATTTTTGTTGGAGGGAGGCAAAATACGATCTTTGCGGGTTTTTTTTAACGCGCGTACTAAGCTAAGCGTTACCAAAGCTTTATATTTTCCTTACTCATTAGTTTAAGGCACACAACAGACAATTTTAACCATAACATACTGGTGGCGCCATCTTTTGTCAAACGGCGGAAACTTATTTCTACTCCTAATATTACCTCGGCCGGGAGTCGAGCCCGGATATCTTACTTTACGCGCAAGTGTCCTAGCCAATTAGACTACCGAGGCCTTAGTAATATTCCTCGCAATAACTGGTATATGTAAAATGATAAACGCTTTCTTTTAGGTGCGTAAATAAACAATATTTAAAATACTAAAGATCGTTAATGTAAGAAGATAACTAATACAAATACGAAGCCTATATAACAGTCTAAATTGGATCTTTAATTGCTTATATATAATTTCGCGTGAATTTATATACTAATATACGTAGTCCCCCCAAATTTTAAGTAGATTTAATGTAATTATAAGTATTCTCGTATTGTTTTTTAAACCTAATTAATTACATGATTTTGTTCATATAACTGGTTTTATTATTATATTTATTATCTTTTTTGAACTTGACTCTTAAAATTGACTCTTTTTAATATTGTTTAATTATTTTTGTATAAAGAGTCCTTTATCTTTCGATTTTATTTGTGTGAATCTAGTTAAACTTTTAATACGTCAGCATAACCATTCTTTCCTGCCATATTGTGTACATACACGCCAAAGCAAATTATATATTTTCTTCAATGTTTTTTTCTTTGCAGGAAAATCGCCCTAGTTATTATACTCGTCAGAGCAGGCTTGGACCTCGATCCGGTCGCTCTAAAAAGGTTAAGACTCACCGTACCGAAATTGGGTTTAATACCATGGGTGGTGGAAACCGTGGTGGTCGCCGTGTTAATGAAATACCTCTTGGATTTGCCATGGGTATGGGGTTTCCTCCTAGGGAGCGTCATAGCAGCAGTCTCGCCAGCCGTCGTGGTGTCTTGCCTCTTCAGATTACGTGCAAAGGGCTACGGAGTTGCCAAGGTAAGGTCACTTATTCTCGGTCCTTTGTTGGAATATTTGAATATTCAGCCGTCGCAAGATCTTCTCATCTTTCATTCGTAAGAACGGATCATAAGTCTTCTGGAACTAATTTCACCCGACTTCCGTACATTAGGTACTAAAATAGATTTATACTAGATCTAGATTTTAAACGGATGATAAATGGCGCGAGTTAACATAATTTTCCCTTAAGAATAATTGAGATTTACTACCGTCCGAAGACGTTTATCGATGCACCGACCATCAGTGGTTTCTTTTTCCACGATCTTACGATATAGCAATATATTGATTTTCTTACCATATCTGCGTGTGTGTTTGCAAACGTGATTATAATTCTACCGGTGTCTGCGATTAAATTTATGCGAAAGAGAAATTGAAAGGAACGGGGGGCTCTCTAAAAGTATTTAGAAAAGTAAATGTAGGAATGTGTGTACATACATGACACGGATGGTTATCGCAAATGTAGTTAAGTTAATATTTAATCGTAATTGCCCGAATAATTGGATTACATCGTGGTTCATGTTTTATATTAATCGAATACATCCCGAATTTATATAGCAGAGCGCATGTACGGCCGCTATGTTTGACACGCTCGACATTAGCGTATTAAAGGAGTTTCCATGTTAATGCGAACGCAACGCGAGAGTAATTAAATTTCTTTTATTATGCGCCAGCGCGATAGCCGTGAAATATTTCAGCCGAGGCGGAATATCGTTCTTGCGAAACTGATTTCGCAAATACGTGTGGCACGATATTTTGCATGCTGCGCGCTTCACCGAATCGCCGAATCAAGATTTAGACCGGTCCGCGGGTGTTCCACTGCACGCAATCGTACGTGACTTTCCTCCCGGATCTAATTACCGAGCGTGTCGGAAGAGCACCCGGAGGATCACGCGAATTTGCAAAACACTCGAGACGCGTCTGCAGTGATGTAAAGGACGATTCGACATGATATAAAAGGGCCTATACAGGCTTGTACAGCGGGATGAAGATGAAACGGAGGGAAACGTATGCCGAATTTAAATAATTCAGTTTGGAAAATGGAGCGGAAGATGCTTGAAGAGCACAAAGACCATTGCGGCGAATGTGATATTCATGAGCCAGATGTAGACGATACTTCTTCATTTGGCGGAACGTAATGCAACGCGGCCGGGGGAGGAAGACACGATCTCGACGTGATGTCGATCCGCGAGACCAGTGCCCCTGATACTTGCCGGCCGCGAGATCGGGGATTCGATCTTATCGCGTCGCGAATAGAAAACCTCACGATGAAACGTTGACCGATAGTGGTTATGCATGCTCACGAAAGAATTCTTATTTTCGCGAGATACCTACGGGACGCAGACTCGCGGTGAGCGAAAAGAAACTGACCTCCGCTAATCTCGCACCGCAATATATTAAACGACGTCTACAATGATTTTAAGTTAATAAAATTTAAGTTTTAAGTCATAAAAACAATTTTTTTGATCGATCACAGTCGAATGTGAGGAGAATAATCTTGACGACTATAGTATATGATTGGTAAAGTGTTGCTACATTACAATTTTCAAAATTAGAACTTATAGGCTAAAATTTCCATTTTGTTTACAATCTCAGACATACACAAAGATGGGAAGTGAATGGGAAAAAGACGAGAGTGATTGTATCTTCTATTAATAGTTCATTATACTTATACTTTTTCCTTTTTATTCACAACGTAATAAATGATGGCTTACCACCAGCTCCTAGCCACTTCAAAAACAATTTCCACTTGATTGATAAATTAAGTGGCACTTATTTTGATTCTTAATATGTTTTGGCTTCATTGGATGTTGCTTCCCTTTTCACTATTATATTCTTTCTTTCTTTCTTTAAATCAACGGGACTCTTCCTAAATTTGTTATAGAGCTCTAGAAATTTTCGGAGGGCAACCAGAACTCTACTTATTTTTACAAAATTTTGAAAATGAGGGACCAGCTTTACGGAGGTGTTTGGATTAGTCTTGATGCAGCTTAATCTTTTCGAGTCCATGCAGCCCGAGCCAATCAAAAGATTCGTATCACGTTGCGACTTCTTGGATGCGTTCCAATTTCACTGCCAGTGCTGAAAATCTATAGCGCACGTAACATATACTGTATAGTAGTTCAGCATTGGCAGTGAATATCGGAACGCCCCCATTATAAGCTCTTTAGCTTTTGATCCCGGATTCCCGGACACCACTAAGAATCTGATGTATTTAGTATTTACAACAAATTTAAAATACAAAATACTCTCCAAAAAAGTATTTAAATATAAAATACAAAATACAAAAATGTATTTAAATACATATTTAAATACATTGTATTTTAAATACTGCCCACCCCTGCTTAAAAGTTACTTTTTCAGTAACTATAACGAATTACTTTTCAGAGTCAATAACTTGCAACGGTAATTAATTACTTTTTGAAAGAGAAAAAATGTAACTATAATTAATTAATAAATTTCGCTCGTTTTTTGCAATGCAAAATAAATGATTAAAACGGTATAAATCGAGCTAAATAGACATTACAAAATTACTTATTCATCTTAAAATTATTTACATTATGTTGAAAAAATGTAAAATTTCGTACGTTTCGGGACTCACAGGTTCTTCTTCAGTGATTCAATTAATATTGTCCAACCAACAAATACATCACTCGATATTTAGAATCGTTGAAGGACTTGTGAGTTCCAAAACGTACGAAATTTGACATTTTTTCAACATATTGTAAATCAAAATTTGACATTTTTTCAACAAAATGTAAATAATTTTAAGATGAATAAGTAATTTTGTAATATCTATTTAGTTCGATTTAGACCATTTTAATCATTTATTTTGTAATTAATTACTTTTACAAAGTAACTTTCCATCCCTGGACATACATATATAAAATTAGTAAAGTTGATCAGAACAGTCAATGAATAATTATTGCATATGTTTATTAATATTCAGCGAAAAAGAACAATTTAAACTGGAAAATAAATGTAGAATGTTTTTATTTGGAATATACAGTTTTATTACAGAATTAAAATGTATTTACATGTTTTATTGATGTTTCTGAAATATCAAAATAAATAAAATATTCATAAAATATATATATATATAAATCCACAAATATAAAATATATATTGCATATTAAAGAGTTTACATTAATAAAAAATAGTTTACATTACTGGTTTTATTTTGTAATTCCACACATCATAAATTAGTCAAAAAATTATTTTAATATTTAATAAAAGCCACATAACTTAATATATTGAAGATCAGGATTAATACAAGCATAAGAGGAGTCAAAGAAAAATATTTCGAAAATTTTAAGAAATAATTATTTTGGACGTCTTCAAAAAATCCCCACAGACGTTCCTGGGTGCCTTAAAAAGGAGGACGGTATCCGGGGAAAGAAGAACGCTGATGGCGATCATAGTGATTAGTTAATTTCTAATGGCTTAAAGTTTGAAAAGTTAAATTCTACGTCTTAAAAAATCTCATTGTAGATGCCTTTCAAATGTACTCGTCCTCTGTCTATCTCTCCCCTTTCTCTCTTTTCTTCTCTTCACTGCCCTTCCTCTCTCTTTCTTTTTTTCTTTCTCTTAACCCTCGTGTAGGTAGTCCAACTCTAAGAATCACGATAGCCGGCGGACTTAAATCCTTGAACGAGCTATCGTGACACCGATAGCACTGTCCGAACTCACGCCAGGATCGTGCTCGAGTGTCGTCGACCATTCTCGAGCGCTCATCTGGTTTTCTGTTCCTTTCGATTCTCTTTCAGACCTAAAGTCTTTGTTTCGCAAGACCTTAGATATCTTGATTTTCTCCCGCGGATTACTTTTCTAGGTCGACTGACAACATCTCATTTTTAAGAGGTTTTCGGATAGATCGCTTTCGAGATTTAAACTATACTTACAGAATGAATGGGAGGGGGGGGATATATAAGTTTCGCGATCAAATTATTATATTTGAAATTATACAATGCATGATATTTTGTATCATATTAATTTAAACGAATTCTTTTCAAGTTATAATTAAATGAAGAATATATAGAATATATACAACTGAATAAATCAAGAGTATCATATAATAAATAGAATCTGATTCTCTCCTTCTCTATTTCCTTACCGTTTATTATTCACATTCTGTAAAACTGTTTATTATTCATTCTGTAAAAGAATCGCAAACACAAAACGTTGTTTGTAAAATGAAATGACAGTGTACCGAATAATCTCCGAAACTGTGTCATTACAAATAAGAGAACAGAAAAGTTTTATTCGTTCTAATGAACACCAAGTTAGAAAGAGCTGATTTTTCTTTCCACTTTGTAGCTTTTCTTTTTCATTAACCTCCGGCATCGCTCTATCACCCGTCTTACTTCCGGAAGAAGATTCTTTTTGGTTTATCTGTACGTTCGTGCAGGCGTTTCTTAATCACTTTGAAGTCGATCGAAATCTGTTCGTTCCACAAGTGTGGCGATAAAAAAATTCTCATTAAACTACATGTAAACCGAATCTCTCGTATCTTAAGATGAACATTTTGAAAATCGTTTGGTATGTTTTCTTTGTTATTATTTTTTACGTAATTTTGTTTTATGGAAATATCTCCACAGTGCTATTAATGTTATATAAAGATACGTTGAATAATATAGCGCAGCGATGCTAAATATTAAGTTTTAAATATATTTGCATTACTAATAAATCGGTAAATGGTCGATGCATATTTATGATTTTCTTTACATTATGCATAATGCAATTTGTCATGATTAAAATCGCTCGATATCAGAATCCAAAACTTTTCCTGTCATGTTTTCCGTTTATAGGCATGATTGTTATTAGTACTACTCATTACTTTTTATAGCATCGTCATTATCGTGATACGCATTATCAATTCTCTATTTCGATGATATATTATATATATTAAATATTAAGTATACACACTAAAAAATTTAATAAACATATTGTGTATTTGAATAGTTACATAGTATCTGAATAAATAATTACTAAACATACATTTATTTGATATAAAAATTATTAATATAATTTAATTATCAATTTCTTATTAAGTAAATATTTATTTAATAGAAATAAACGTTTACTTAGTTAGTATTATTCAAAGAAATATATGTGATAAGATTTAGTAATTTTTTTTCAGTGTATAATATACATGTATGTATAAGTTCAAATAATTAAAAATTAATTAAAAGACTCTCGATATATGAAATATATTAAGAAGGAGAAAAAGGCTAATATGAGAGTTACTTCACAAATACAAAATCTCACATATATTAATATCCTCAGAAATAACAAATTAAAAACGCAAAAAATGCTAGGACATTTTCAGATTAAAAGTAACGCACGAAAATTCATATTACATGTTTCGGCCTTGTATTTCGGCCCTCCTCAGATACTTACAATTATGACGCAAAAATTCTATGAATATGACAATGATGGTTAAAAGAGTAAAAGAAGTTAAGAGAAAAAAAATTAAAATTATTAAAAGAGTGAGATGAGAAGATGATCAGAGAGACTAAATCACTCGTCAAACGATTGGATGACCGTGTGGGAAAATTTCTTGTTATTCTCTGCGTTTTCAAAGTAAAAAGATCCATACCAAAGATTAAAGTCATCAATAATCCTGATTCAGAAGAAATAAAACATTTTTGATGTCACAAAGTAATTATATACGTCAAATATGTAATAATTCAGTAACACATCATTCTGTCACAACGAATATAATTGTAGTGTGCATAAGTTACCTTGTATAAGTTAACACAAATACAATTTTGACGTGTGAATAATTTTCTTAACGAGTTTACGATCAATTTCTAGGGTATTCCAACTCTGATCATCGCGATAGCAGGAATCGATGATGCAACGTCTGTCGCAGTTTACGGTATCGTGAAGAGCGTCATGTTTTCTCACGATGCGTTGTGGTACCAGATCCTTCAAGGACCTATTGCGATTATTGGTGGTCTGGGATTCGGCATCATGTGGGGCTGGTTGGCCAAATACGTGCCGGAAAAGGGTGATGTAAGTACTTTCTTTACAGCTGTTGCAAACTGCATTAATCATGAGAATTACGATTCTGTAAAGCCACGTTTCTGCGGCCGTTCGAACACGAGCGTATTCGGGATGCACTTTACAAGAGAGAAAGAGGAAAAAAATTACTCTCGGGCGTATCGGACACCGAAGATAATGAACTCCGCACGGCCGTGGAGTCTCTGCGCGATGCCGCAGATACGTTTTGAACATTCTTCTTAAATTGCAACCTTATAGCCGCTGTTCGCGCAAGTTATGTCAGTCGCGGTGAACACGGAAAACGTGCCTTCTAGGAAACGAACTAAAGTTTACAATATACATAACCTAGCAATGTATATGTATATTTTTTACTTATATTGAAATTTGTCCACTGTTCGATTCTTAAAATATACGTATAAAAGATACAGGTGATATTATTAAAAAAATAATAAAAATATTAGTCTTTCTCCGAAAACAAAAACGTTCTCTTAATCGCTTCATTGTGCCATAGAAATTAGCGTACTTTACGTTATATATTTAATCTCATAAGTCGTTTGATTGCACGAGATCACAAATTGACTGTTCCAGCGCGAGATATAAGAATGAAGGGTTGCGGCGGAAATAGGGTCAACCAGTGGGGAGTCGTTCACCCCACATCACGCCTCGCGATGAATCTCTCTCGCTTGCACTAGATTTCGCTGCACACCGCAAAAGCACTCGCGGGGATAGAGCACATGAGCGCAAATCCGAATAAATCTACTATTGCCGGATAAATCCACTTATGCGGTTATCATCTGATCGTGTGAAAATCCTGTAAAACACTTTATAAATTGTATACCGGAGATCATGTACCAGAGATTCCCAAATCTGCAAACCGTCGAGTATCTTTTGTCAGGAAACACGCGTTTACTCTACATTCACACGGTACTTCAAAGGGTTTAATTATCCTTGAAATTATTAACGATTTTTCAAAGCTATAGGTATACAAATCCTATGTACAAGAAATAGACAAATACCTGTGATGTATGTTCACTATTAATTTTTTTTTAAATATTTATAATACATTATTTATTCTTAATATGAGATCTTACTTAATATAAGATCTCATCATTTGATTTTAATATATTCCATCCTTGTTGAAAGAATGCAATTGTTTGATCATCGAATTATTTGTAGTTTTGAAAATCAGAATGAAAAAAAAGAAATAGATTTTTTCTTCCAATGTCTTAATGTGATTAACTATTAGGTCAATCAGGAAAGTTCCGTCCGTTTTTTTGCAAAAAGTATGATTTTGTTTAAGAAACAAACTAAAAAAGTACATCAATCAGAATATTGTCCATCGTTAGCAATGACTTTTTCCCATCTTTCGGGCAGCAAGCAAATTCCGCAGCGAAAGAATGACCCATCCTTAGAGACTATCCAGTCAGAGACCATTTTTCGACGTCTTCATAAGAATTGAAGCGTTTCTCAGCAAGTGCGTGTGCCATCGACCGAAACAAGTGGCAGTCGGAAGAGGCACAATCTGGTGAATAAGCCGCATGGGGTAGCACTTCCCAGCGAAGTGCTGCCAATGTTTCCTTAACAGCCTTTACAGTGACGTGAGGTCGTTGTTATGAAGCAAAATCACTTTATGCTGTCTCGTCTCATATTCTGGTCATTTTTCGCGCAATGCTCGGCTCAAACGGATTATTTGTTCTCGGTAGAGATCTCCTGTGACTGTTTGACCAGATTTCAGCTAATGGTGTAAACTGCACTCTTCTAGTCCCACCAAATACAGAACATGGCCTCTTCTTCCCATGAATATTGCGTTTTGACGTCGATGTCGATGGTTGGCCTGGATCGCAAATGGTATTTTGGCGTTTGAGGTTATCGAAATAGATCCACTTTTCATCGCCAGTCACAATTCGATGCAAAAACCTCTTTCTTTGTTGCCTAGCAAACAGAATTTCGCAGGTGGTTTTTCGCCTTTCAATGTCTCTTGGCTCCAGTTCATATAGGACCCATTTTCCTTCCTTGTAGACCTTTCCTAAGGCTTTTAAACGATCGGAAATAACATATTGAGCACAATTTAATGCTTCTGCAAATTGTTTTTGCGTTTGATATGGATCTTCATCCACCAATGCCTGCAATTCTTTGTCTTCAAATGCTCTTGGCCGTTCAGAACGCTCCTTGTCCTCCACATCAAAATTACCACTTTGAAATCGTCGAAACCATTCTCTGCATGTTTTATCAGATGGAGCACTATCACCATAAACTTCTACAAGCATTCGATGAGTTTCAGATGCAGTTTTCTTCCATTTGAAGCAAAAGATTGACACTTTGCGCAAATGACGTCTATTTGGCTAATTACATTTATTTCATATCCGTTTTTGATTAAGGAATTCAATACCTTTTATATGCATTTGACGTATACATATATTTTTTTTAAAAAGGTTTTTTTGAGGGATCGAATTTATCTAGAGACTTGGAGAGGTTTTGGAAACGTCGGTTTAGGTGAATTAAATGTTGGTGCGCGGATTTGGCGAAGAAGTCGACTCAGTTACTGCATCGCCACCTCATCGTATCTAACGTATCGTTCACGTGAGGATTAGCGTCGTTACATTGCGGCGATGGTTGCAGTATTTTTAGCTCACTGATTTATTTAGTTTCAGATATACTTAACTTGTTACAATGTGTATCAGATCAATAGAATGTTTTTGTAAAAATACATTTAAATCTGCCTCTTCGTTCAACACTGTTTATACATTAGATACCTGTTAAGTTTATATGTATAATAACCTATAGGCCAAACATTCTATAATTTGGAATTTTGAGAATATTACGAAATAATAGCAATCAATTTTTTTAAATTATTAATTTCCATTATATTTATTTTAATGAATATTTTTATAAAAATTACGACCAACAAGTTCTTGATACAATCTGAACAGTCAAATCACATCAAAGCTTAATACATTTCTTTGATGCTGTTGCTTAATTATAATGCATTACATCGAGCGTGTATGTATGAAGGATATACACGAAGGAGCCCATATTTCGAAACTTATCATTTGTAATGGAATCAATAAATCACTTTATAATCGTGAAACGGTGCTTTCTATTAAGTTCTAACGCTTCGTTTATGTGCTAATGTTGTAGCCCTTCATGGTGCCTCTAAGGGTGCTGATGTTACTCGGGGGTGGCCTGCTGGCGGTTTTCGGTAGTGAGGCAATTGAGCTCGGTGGTGCCGGACCGCTTGCGGTCGTGGCTGCAGCTTTCGTCAGCTGCTACTTTTGGCAACAAGAAGGTTGGGACGTGGACGATGTAAGTACAAATTTATAATGTATACGTTATAAAACTTATACACGAGTTTACTAATCCAGCAAATAAGTTGTGGATAAGAAATTCTCAAGCGAATTCCACGCGCTTATACTATTATACATTAAATATAGTAGTTTCACCTCTCGCAAAACACATTAATACATTATTAAATAGCCACAATAGTGATACAATCTTAAGAATGTTTTGACTGTACAATATCAGCTAAAAATATCCATACTAATGTTATTAAAAAAATTTAATAAATACATCTTAAAATCAATTGCAAAAATACAGCAAATAATGTGGCTTTTAATGACTTCTGCAATTATAATTACTATATATCGCTGGAATTTTAGGTAATTAATTTTTAAGTAAATAAGTAAATTTAAATGAATTTTTGCATGAATAGTTTTATTAGAATCTTATTTTTACTTTTATTAAAATATATAAAAATTTTGATTTAATCATAATGCTTTCTCATTAAATTTGCAAATAAGTATTACAAACATGATTTTACATAAAAATCAAGGCAAGCAAAAATATTAAATAATTTTTAAATTGACAAGGAAATTATCAAATTTCTCAAGTTCAAATTTTATACAAACAGTTTGATGTAATATAATAGAACAATCTATGTGAAAATTTTATATTTTTAGTAATACTTTGAATTGTGACACATACATCCCTAAATTTCTAAATTATTTTTACAAAACTGTGACAAATTTCGACGATTTAATGGATAAAAGCAATACGTTTGAAGATATTTTGAATTGCAGTTTCGCAATTCCAGTATAAATACAGGAGATATTATAAATATTTAACTTCTCTCTCTCTCTCTCGGCAAGACAGAAAAGAGTGTATCAGTGACGAAAGGAGAAATATATCGCGGAGCTTCACTTCCCTAGTCCAATAAGTTGAATCTCGTGAAATATTCAGATCGATGTATCGCCACTATTCAGCTGGATGCGGATTGGGAGTCAACTGGCTCGTACCTATTTCCGCTTTCCGTATCGCGTCGCATTCTTCGCTGTCCATAGCGGTGCGATGGCGGCGACACGTTGTTTTGCACGCGTTTCGTGACGTGACTGTAACTAGCATCTGTCGATATTACCGTCATATGATATGCACGTCGTATGTCGCACTCTGCATAATTTATCCCAGCTAGATTAATTACTACGGAACAATCGCGCGACAAGCCGGCGACAGTAAAACGCCTTTTTGTTTCAATTGAAATAATTCATCCCGGTAAAATATTTATCTTTTTGAATATCATATATAATTAGACGTAATTACATAAAATCAAATATAATTAAATATAATTTTATCATTTTTTCACAAAGTTTATCTAATTAAATTTAATCAAACATGATTATCTGTATGAAATTATATTTTAATTTTAATTTATACAGGGGATGACAAAAAAAATTTGGTCATAAAGTTTCATGAGATGATCAAATCATTAGTTTATGTATATTTACAAAAAACTAATTCTGTGTATAGAGTTAATTTTATTTTATTAAATATTAAAAATAATCAACATTCTCTCTCTCTCTCTCTCAAAATGCTCATCTTTAACTTCGATCAAAATGCATCAATGATAGCCGTGTATCTTTTCACTAATAAATTTTTTTGGACAATCAGTAGAGCGGTTTTTAGTTCAACTAATGAAAATTTGTTGATGCAGTCTTTCGGGGTATTTAAGGGGTTACACCACTAGGAAAATAATTTTTTTTAATTTTTCGTGGAAAATGGCGGCACTGCAATCGATTCAAATAAACTAGTTTTCAGCGAGTGCTCAATCAGCGTACACGATTATGATGAAACGGTTTGACCTAGAATAAAAAACCAAGAATTTTTATTATTTCTCTATATGACATTTATTAAAGAAGTATATAGGGTTTTAAGAAATATGCTTTTTTTGTGAAAATGAACATTTGAAAAAAAAAGTATCATTTTTGGCTAAAAAATTTTGAACAGAAATATTAGTAACAATAATAGTTTTTAACTAATCACAAAATCGCTACATACTTTAGATAACTAACAAAAGAAGACTTTCTGCAAATTTCAAGTGAATTGAATAAAAATTGTAGAAATTATGATGTACGCCGATTTGAAAAATGTCGTTTTGAGAAAAACGCGTTTAAAGTTTTACGATGTGCGCCGATAATATGGAAACGCACTTAAAAAAAAATCAGCTGTATCATTGTAAATACGTCAAAATTTTTATTCTAACTAGTAGGATTATATTTTCACATAAATTATCATAAACGAAAAAATATATAAATTATCATTTAAGCAAAAAAAATTTTTTTTATTTTTTTTCAATTTCAAAGTGATGTAACCCCTTAATAAGATGTAACTAACTTTTCAAAGTTTGTTTTTATTTTTTAAATAGGTACATTATTAATATTATAATATTATAATATTAATTATAAACTAAAATATAGGTACATTACTCTCAGATTATAGAAAGCTAATTTTATTTGTTATTATTTTAACGTTAAAATGACGATCTGAGCAATAATTTGTTAAACACACAAACTTTAAGAACTTTTTGCTACCTTGTACAGTTAAATACGGTATTTGTGAAATTCAATTATGGCTTATTATTATTTTGGAAATAATAAATTAATATGATCCATTATTAGTTTTAATATTAATAGAAGAAAATCTGTGAAAAAGCATGTGTGTTACATATAATGTTCTTGTATCTGCAAAGCATGTTACATACATTATCTGGAAATTGCATGGAATTAAATTAAATAAATCAATATCGATGAGATTTCCTACTCACCACAAGCGCATGTAAACAATAGCGGTAAATACGAGCTTGCACATCGCGTGAACTCTGGATATTCCGCATTTCCATGCAACGTCGAAAGATCTCCACACCCCGATATCGAGCGCATGGACACAATGTGCGATACGAGATATCATCATTGAATACCGAATCGACTCTTCTTTAGAGGGAAATTTGTGGAAAGGGTCATTGTATTCGCGGCGTTTAAACATCTATCGATGCGCATATCTCAGCAAATAGAATTAAATTGTTGCTATCATTGCTCTTTGTTTCTATTCGTTGAATATCACTTTTCAAGATTTAAGGAAAACAGAAATAAATAAAATAATTGCATTATTCATAGAAAATTTTAACAAATGAAATTTAGAAAACCAATATAAAATTTAAATAAAAAATATATGTTCACGCTCAGAAAACAATATATCGCCAGATAATACAATTGGAGAGTGCTCTTCTACAAATAATATAGTACAAATAGGGACAGAGATAATTTGTAATAAATTAGTCTAAAAGATTGTGTTCTAAGAAACTTGTTTCAAATCAATTGACAAACTACTTAAAGCTGTAAAATATTGCAGTATTAACAAAATCTAAAAGGTGTAGGAGTTTTAAATAATTTTGCCAGAATATTTTATGACAAATTGTAGAAAACATATCTATTGTAAAGCAGTTTATTTTTTATTTTAAAGTAAAGTGAACAAATTGTATCTATAGTGACTGTAAACTATATAATAAAAGAAGCAAAACATTATTACAAATTATAATGTTATTAATTTGTTTCTTAAATAAAATCATACTTTTTGCAAAAAAAAAAAACGGACGGAACTTTCTGATTGACCTAGTAGTTGTTTTTAATATTAAGAATATTAATTTATAGAGCACTACAATTACACAATAAATTTTAACTAAATTTTATTTTAGTAGAGGAGAATGGTCTAAATCGAACTTATTATATTTGCAGTTTTTGTTCTCTATGATGCGTAAATAAAGTCCGATCATAAAACCAATGGTACCGTTCGAAAGATCATTTAATTTCCTTCATTATTGCTTGAGACCATTTTGATGTATCTCTTATCTGTCGAAATATAATGGAAAATGTAAAAATGCATTTTCCGGTCCGATTTGGTACCATGAATTCCAAAAATCGGACCTCTCCTATTTTTATGGACTTTTAGATAGAATTTAAAAATATTTTAATTAATTTTTGTTAGTATTGAGTAGAAACGAGCAATTTAAGACTCAAAGATAAAAATATAGTATATTATTAGAATTAAAATCAATAAAAAATTCCATCAATCTGAGTCTGATGACATATGATATTTTATTGATTTAGTATTCCTTGGATCAGATATGGTCGGTCGATCATCAGTATTACAACCAGGTTGTGGCGAATCTTTTTTCTTCGATGAATTAGCTGGCTTATACTCGTCTCTTTAGTGTTTTTGTATAGGTCCGATTTGGACACGGGTTCTTTCGAATAATTGGAACAAATTTTCCAATAAACCGCAAAAGTAATCACAAAACTCTTGATATTTTTGAATTCTATACTCTTTAATTATCTTAAATTAATTATCGTTCAAGTTTTTAACATGTTTTAAATAATGATTTACAAGGATTTTCTATTTAAAAAAAATTTTTGCATGATAGCCGAAAATACATATTTGCGTCTATTCTGAACGTTATAACAGAGTACTGCCAAACTGTTGTCACATATTCGGTGTCTTATAAGGACTTTACATTATAAATGGCACGCAAATCTGCTTAACCGTATTTATTTAAATTAAAAAGGTCCGATTTGGAACACGGTCTGATTTAGGACATTCTCCCCTGTAATTTCATAATCAGTGTTTAACAAGTTACTTGTATTATAATTATTTAAAACGTTGTAGAAAAATGTTTTATTTTTTATTAACAAAAATTTATTTGTGCGTTTGTTTCACCGAGTCACAATTTTTGTGTTTGCATGTGACAGAATAAATTTGCTACAAAATTGTAGCTGATCTGTGTATTTTCTATTTTCTATTATGTTATAATTTAAAGTTACTTAACTGACAAAATTAAGTCTATAATATTGTATTATAATAGTTTTTTCCGAAACATTTTTCTCAGTGCATAAATTTAAATTTATGTAATCATGACCCTGTACTTTTTCTTTTCTTTTTACAGAATCCGGTAGCTACGTCTTTCGAGATCTTCTGGATGATATTTGAACCAATTTTATTTGGCATTACCGGCACACAAATCAAGATTAATGAGCTCGAAGGAAAAACCGTCTACCTCGGACTAGGTTGTTTAGTTTGCGGTATTGTCATACGTATCGGAGCAACGATATTGTTTGGGATCGGTTCTAAGCTGAATCTCAAAGAGAAAGTGTTCATTGCTTTGGCTTTGATGTCTAAGGCAACCGTGCAGGCCGCTCTGGGACCCGTTACCCTCGATGAAGTCAACAAGGATGATCAACAGCAAGTCGGATACGCCGAGATAGTGCTGATGATGTGCGTACTCTCGGTACTTCTAACCGCACCAGCAGGAGCCATTATGATAACACTCTTAGGACCAAAGCTGCTGACGAAGACCACTACGCCGGTTAGCCCGCTGGAAGCTTGGAAAACGCGCAGACCATCGATTCGTGACATTTCAATCATCAATGAGGATCCGGATCTAGAGGAGACCGCGAACGAGAGAAAGCCCTGACAAACGTATTTAATTTGCATTCAAAGCCAAGTTAATAGGAGTTTGTCCTTATTTTCTGGTATTCTGAAAGTGCCTGAACGTGACTTTATTTTAATTATTATCTGACACACGACTTAATGACTAAAAGTTTATATCTATGATCACCGATGAGATATTAATCGTGGTTTAATGTCAGCCGATTTATATCTAGGTACTCATGGTCGAAAAAAGTACTCATTATATCACAGTGATATCATATCTGAAACTGTTATCCTGAGTTATACGCGAAGAGAAGATTTTTTCAATCTGACATTAGATCAATATCGTTATAGTTTAAGTGACGAAGCGATCGAATTTAAGCAATAATCCTAGTCCATGCAAAAATTATTCGCGTGAAATAAAAGGACGATCAATAATTGATTATATTTTGTATATTTGTAACACTAAATTGAAAGGTTGCATTTATTTAAACAATTTATGATCTTATAGGATTTGAAAATCCGTAAATAATATTATGGAGTTTCATGTCGTGATCTTGGAATTTAATTATACTATGTGGGCTCGCTTGCAATTTGTAGGCGAATTTATAATTATATTTATTTTTTAATTATAATTATACATCCTGTACATTATTATGATCATAATTATAATATAATAATATCAACATATTTCTTTCCTCGATCACCATATTTTAAGCACAAGAATTTTTTAGCGAGAAGTCTTTCATTACACTTATGTTGTTTTAATGAATTCATTTATACTGATATTGATAATATAATACTTTTAAACAAAAAAAAAACGAGACTGTGCTACTGAGGAGATATATTTATCAGCTAGAGAGAGAGCGAGTTTTATCAATAACACACATAACAATTTTGCTGATTCACTTGTTAATCAACTCATTAATTTTTACTAATAATTTATGTCAATTCTTGCTGAAGAAGTACCATTTGTTGAATGATGGGTTACCGTGTAACACGTGAAGATATTTTGTAATAAATACCTATGTAAGACGTGATTAGTTTGCCGTTAATATTAATAATCCTAAATGACTTTGAGAGCTCTATGAGTGATTGATTTATATAGGTGTTGGTATTATAACAGATTTTATGATTTGAAACGTACGTTTATATCAGAAAGATATATGACTTGCACGGGAGTGCGAATCTGGTATTAGAATCGCCAACTACAAAGCAAGTCAAAGTATATCACGTGATATCATAGTTTTTTTTATATAAGAAGTTTTTTCAGGAAAAAAATGAAAAGCCGGTTTAAGTTTTGTAGTGGCATATGAGAGTACGGATCTGGCATTTAGAGTACCTATAATTATAGGTTTATATTTAATATCTGTTCCTAATATTTCTCCTATTGTGCGCAGACCCTTATGTCTATACTCTTATTATAGGTACTCTACTGGCATTAAGACAGTAGCGCGCATCGAAAAGCAATGCTCTGATTGGCTCGGGGCGCGTGGGCTCGAAAAGGTTAGAGCGATAACAAGAAGATTTAGCAGCTTGTGTCACTGTCATTCTAAGCTTTTCTGAGCGCCATGCGCCCCAAATCAATCAGTATGATTCGGATCAATCGAATCACGTGATAAGTTAGTGACTCTCTTATTCTTAGAACATATACTACTGGAAGCGGAATAAGGCGCTGAACGTAAAGCCAACATCTGTGCGAGAGAGAAAAGTATAGATTCACAAATATTCGTAACACGCATGCGACAGTACTGTGTAAATTGTACAGTTCTCATATACGCAGTGTTATTGTTAGTTTCACGGATTTTAAGTTAAAGACACAATAATGCGAGGAAATAATGATAGCGACATGAATAATACAGTTTCAACTTATCAGAAATCGGATTCCACAGTTACACCGGAATCCACAGTTTATGATAAGTTGAAATTATGTTATTGTTATCGCTATTCCCTCGCATTGCGTCTTGGTTACGTATCTTTAGGTTACGTATCTTTGACGGAGATAAAGGGAGGTTGAATGGCACATGCGCATTGCGAACATTTGAGAATCTCTATACCTTTCTCTTTCGCACAGATGTTGGCTTCACGTTTGGTATATGGGTGACATAGACAATTCCGCTTTCAGTAATATATATTCTAAGCTCTTATTATACTCTCTATCCACTACCGCTCGGGGTTCGACAGTCGAGTATTTGTGTGAATTCTACATTACGACTGACAACGAGTACACGAGCTGCAGGGCCGAGTCGCTCGCAGCGACCAGATCCTGAGGCGCCTCATGCACTTCTTATATAATTCGTCACTGAATTGTAAATCTAATACTAAAAAAGTAATACTTGTAATATATGTATATAGAATCTTGTACCATTTTCAGAACTTCATAGCAGACATTTCTGAGTCAAGAATAGCATTACGAATAAATCCATTATCAAAATACGGGCTAATACAAAAGGAAACTTTATACAATCGTATCGTACATTAAGCTCTATTCATGCCACTACCTACACAGCACACTTTATCCGAGGGCCGTCTTGAGACATAGAACATTCTGTAGTCTTTAGATTAGAATATCCTTTGAAGATCTGTACTATGTAAATATTTGCGTGACGCCAGATCTCGTTGAATCATATGTAATTATTTCTCTGTCAGTTACTAACCCTCCTGCTATCAAGAAAATAATAAAATTACAGATTAGAGTAAATTAATCTTATTTCAAATATAATTCATTTATAAAGTGATGAATAAAAGGTTGTCATTATTATGTACAATTACATATATATTACTTAAATACGCTATTAAATATATCCTACTTAATAAAATATTGATATAGAAAGAAGATTTTTACTTATTTTAGCTGATAAGAGTATATATTTTTAAAATAATCACAAATTGGACAGAGAGAGAGAGAGAGCATGACTGAAGGACATAAGAATATATCATGTAGTAAAAAAGGAGGCATTATGTAAATTATTATATTAGACAGTCTCAATTATTTCCTTATGGTGTTGAACTAACCGCGAATGTCGTTAATGTGCTGTCACTTATGCTTTTCCTGACTCTATAAGGGTTGTGTAAAGTCACGGTTGCATCGTTTGTAAGCGTTTTTCTTTTCTTGGTATCAAATCCCAATCGTCTATGAAGAGCTTGATACACGCGACTCTTCAAGACAAAGAGAATAAAAATCAATAGACCTTGAAGGCAATTGAAGACGTCGCTGGTGTAGAAAAGTACGTGATGCCAATGCTCGTAATTTAAATATTTTTCTAGAAGGAATGACACCACCTCGCAGATCCAGGACATTCCCATGACGACAAACAGTTTGATGTTTATGATAAATCTATCGGAAAATAAAATATACATATAACTTTTTTATAAAAATCAAATTTTACTAAAATAAATAATAGGTAAAATTATAAAGATTAATGTAAGAAATAAACTAAGATCTCCCCGTCGAGCTGTGTGGCTCCGCAGCAAGACGGTGGCTAACACAAATTACTACGAAGCCTCGGTTCAAGTCCCGAACGCCATCGCGTTCAAGCGTCCGACATTTTTTCTCGGCCCAGCTCTTACAGCTTCAGAAGTAGGATACAACCAACTTCCCTCAGTCAAGAAACCTGACTTTTCAAAAAGAAATTTTCCCTCAGAAATTGAGGTTTATTCGAGGGCGGACAGTGGACCCAGCAGGATTTGGAATAGACTGGTTCACACGTAACAAGATCATTCGGGGACCAATGATATGCCAGAGCTGCGTTCAGAATCATCATCTGAGTGCACCCAGGTGTCGTGTTGTTATCCTTGTTTATCATTCGTGAACAATAAGGATAAAACAACATTTGAGTACATCCGGACGACGATTCTGAACGCACCCCAGGATGGTCGTGTTGTAGGATATAAAATGATATAAAACTAGTTCCTATCAGGTCGGACTGTGTGGCTCCGCGAGACAGTTGCTTCGTAATATGGACGCGACTCGAGGCCTCGGTTCAAGTGGAGCCAGTGGAGGCACCGGTGGAGCGCCCGACGTATTTTTCTCGGCATGGCTGCCTACAGACACTGTTATATAAATATAGCACCAGAGTGAATTCTAATAATTGTTTTAAAAAAAAGTATAGTCCAAAGCCAACTAAAACTAACAAATATTACTCATAATCGAAGTTAATGGTGTATAAAATGTTCTTTTGAGTACAGAAGTATACGATTTTATTTTCGTGTTTCTAGTTTTACAGTTTTAAATAGACAGCAATTCTCACATTTTTGTGTATATGCTGCGCTACAACAATTTCAAAGGACACTTCAATCAAAATAATAAAACCGACTCTAAAGTTCCAAAATGACGCGCGCGCTCAAAATTTACGTGTACCAATCGCTAATTTATCGCCAAATTATCTTTTTTTGTTTACATTGCTTCGGAAAACGAAAAGAAAATTCTACTGAGCTGGCGAACACTTACCTCTTCTTATCGGAACGAAATTGTTTGCTTCTGGGATCCGCGTGGTCTGTTACCCTTTTTATCTCTGCTTGTACTTTATTGCAATGTGTTGATGTGAGAATGAAAAATATTACGTTAGATATCAGCAGAATCATCACCGGTCCGATAAAGAAAGTTAATTCGCCGTACGAATCTCGGTTTTCTGTATCATTAAATTAAAGTATTAAAAAATCATTAGATAAAAATATTAAAATTTTTTTACAGTATATAAAGATAGTTTATTATAACGTAAATATGAAAATACTGTTTCTCCTCTAATTTGTATTATTTAATCATTTTGTTTCAATTTAAATATATTTTACTGATGAAGAAATTAGTTTTACTCCATCATACAAATAAGAGACGTGATTAAAAAATATAATTCAGTAACGGTTTGTTACGGTAACTTTACCTTTGCTTTAAGTCGTTAAAACTATTGAGAATTTTCTTTACTTGATTGAATGCATACAGTTGGAAAATTTGTGTATTTTTGTGAAAAAAAATCTGCTGTTAAAGTTTTTGTGTTAAGTAAGGTACACTTTTAGATGTAAATTTAACATATTTCTCTTATGTTAAACGAATATAATGAATATGAAGTGTAAATTGAAATGATTAAAAAAATATGTTAAAGTAACACAATTTGCACGTATTTAGTAAATATGTTAAAATTTACAGATTAAGAGTGTTGATTTTACTCTATAACAGGAATGGGCAGTGTTGTTTTAGGCGAATCGTCTTTTTAGAGAATATTTGTTATATAGGTATGTTAATTTTGTCATAATAATTATGTTGATTGTACACACAATTCTCTTCAAGTTTTATTCAAGATTACATTCCATTTTTGTTGAAATATAAACATAGTATCCGTGTTACCATTCAACATACTCATATTATGTGAAATTAACACAAAAATTTGAGTGGACCATTTATGGACACGCGATTTATGTTAAATTTAACATATTTTTTCCAACTGTGCAATTGCTTTGCCGATATAAATGATATTTATTACGCGAGCAGTTAATTTAATTACATTTTATATAGAGGACCAATGATGCCTGAATTTGCTACATAGCGCTATTAATTGCTCGAGAAAGTTTTTAATTATCGGATAATTGCGGAACGACGATAGACAGAAAACTTTACGTTTGCCTTCCTCTCAATACGGTTCAACTTTGAATACCAAATGAATCTTCTAACTGTAATTCATCTTATACAAAAATTCCCAACTTTATCTATTTCCAATATATAAATTATAATAGCAAGAAGACGTGGAGAAATAACCAATGTTGTGCGAAGTCGGCTTTTCTTACGAAAAGTTATCTTTCCAAGAAGTCCATAATTAATATTGACAAATTTACGTTATATTACAACAGTTATCGGTTGTAAATGACTCACGTGTAAACCAACAGCCTCTATTACCAATACCGGGTTGCAGATAGTTTGGCAGGATTTCCGTGCTGTCAGCAACGATAACGAGGATTGACACCAGCAAGGAAAGGCCCCATGCATAGATACAGTATAATAGAAATCTTTTCCTATGCTCGCGTGCCTTTGTAATGGTATTTCCGCGCAAAACTCTACGGAGAAGATAAACTATCATTATGTTAAAATAAAAAATTAAAAGGCAACGCATGATCCTGTTGAAAGTGATGTAATTCTAAGTAGAACATGTTAATCTATAAAACTCTCTAATATTTATTTCAAGTGTTTCTAATGACGCTTTAATATTAATCAAACGATGAGGAAAACTAGAACCGATGAAGTTTATTAAATACTGATAATTCTTAAATGTCACGTAAAAAAGATTGAAGCGTACAATCTGCTTCGTTACGACAAAGTCAGTCTTAATTCGAGGAAGTCGATTTGGAACTCACAATCAGTCGTAACATTCCGCGAATGCCGCATGAATATCACATGATTTACTTTTCGAAAATGAATGTCGTGAGAAAATAAGAACCGGACTCATGGAATTTCCGATCGTGAGAGCGTTGCGCCAGCCAGCTAACATTAAGCTGTAACCAACATCGTCGCCGTGACGTGTGGGAATCTATTTTCTCTGTATATTTACAAATGTTCCAGCTAGAATAGCGTCTTAAACACACAAACGTTCGTAACCATCTAAAAACGACAGACAAGATATGTCCAGTTCTGAGCAATTGTCGCTCTTAAATAAGACACAGAATGTCTAGAAATTATTTCTCTTTCCCATCAAAATTTGCTAAATTTGATTTTCAACGAAATTATTTTTCTCGAGACATCACGTCGGATTCTCGATTATAATTAATCTTCTAAACGAACATAAATTAAAAATATATTTAAAAAAGTTATTTCTTTTTCTGATAGTTACAAATTCTCTAATTTAAACTCTCCGTGAACTTTTTCTACATATTATGCATATAATGTCGACGCTATATTAAACGCGTTGAATCATTTCAGTGTTTAATGTTTGGTAGTGTATATTTTTTTAACCACCCTGACGTACGTAGAACACAATGAAATTTTATTGTGAAGAGACACATATAGCGGCGCTCACAGTGAGAATTAATAATAAAAACAGCAAGACATTCTATGAAAGGTCAATTGAGATAATAGCGAAGAAATCATCGGATAAACGAGCAAATTTAGCGCGATGAGATAAACTTCATAAAATTATTAAAAGAGACCGACTAATTCATTCATTTAGTCATCAAAAAGAAATGGTTATTGATTTTTTATCGAGAAATTATGACTCCGTCTCATTTACCCAATTTTATCTTCGATTGTTCTACTCGACCCAGTCGCATGATGGCATCGTATGACTTACCCGAAGGTCCACCATATGTCAAAACACATGACGTTAAGCCAGGAAAACGCCGATAGAAAGGCAAAAAGCATGGTATAAGCTGAAAAAAACATTGTTTTTTCGTTTCATCAATGTCGTTTGTATATATTTCTTAGTGCATCGGTATACAAACCTAAAGCTTTGCATGTTATCATAAATTGTCGTTCAATCACGTCACCGGGCATGTTCCAAGTGATGATGGGCAAGCAGGTGAAGGCTAAGAGAAGGCTGCTCACGTGGCACATCAGCGTTTTACCATGAAGATTCTGCAGACTCGGCAGACAGACATACACTAGCAAAGTCATTAGTAGAAAGGCGCAGCTGATAATTTCCAGGACAGTGTTCATTCGGTATCTGTCAGTAAAAAATACATTTCGCATTTCACTATGGCAGGATACATGCATTTATTTGAAGAGTATAAGATTAACCCGTTTTACGTTATATTGTCATCAATTTCGTAGATATTGACTAACGTTTCTCTTTGTGCCATGTATACAACTAAAACATTTATAGCTCTCGAATATATAGGGCATCATCTATTGTGCAGAACGCTGGTATGCTACGTTTGTTTGACTTTGTGAAGTTTAAACAAATCAAGCCTGTCGAGTTTCACCAAATTGACAGAATTTGCGGTAGGAGAGACCGAAGCTTGAAATGCCTGAATGCATATAAACGCATCGCCATCGTCAACAGAAGTCTAACGCAATGCATTTGTTACTTTAATTTCTATAGAAACTCGATACAAACTCATACTTTTCTAAAATAACTTTCCCAATACTACAAAGCATTTCAGCAATATTCACATTCAATGCAATCTCTCTGTTCGGTCTATATCTACCAAGATAACGTAGCTAAAAGTAAAGCGCTGATTAAACGATAATAAGATACACGAATGTGGTTATTATATAGTTATTATATATAGTTAGTCGAATACTCTTTTTATAATTGAAGAAAATAAAAATAATATATACCTTGTTGAAATCTCATTTGTCGCCGGATTTTCAAAACATATAAACAAATGAAAGTGGTGATCAAACTCCGATTTATTGTAAAAGACGTCCATGCAATAATTGTCTTGGTCGTACACGGCATAATTTTCGACAGAAACATGTCCTTCTGATGTCAGCAACCATTCTTCTTCCCTTGGATCTATGGGATACATACCGTATTTACATGGCTTCCCAATCAAAATTCCGTAGTCTAAACAATCAAAGAGAAAGAAAAAGAGAAATCTATTAACTCCGTTTCTCCATTCATAGGATTCTCTTCGACAACTTGTTGCACAATTATTATTGATTATCATATATAAACTCTAAATAAACAATTATAGCCTTTAATTTATGTTTGTTTATTTGTTTCTAAATAAACAGTTAAATTTTTTTTTTTAGAAAGCAATAAGAATGTTTAAATATTATTGGAAAAACCTTTAGTCGTGTCGAAAGACGACGATCTCGTTTGATTTACGGCGTTTGCGAGGGCCTCGTGAAACTCGATCGGTTCGTCGGATACAGCGAGTTTATTGCATCCTTGGGCGTAAAAGAACTCATTTTCGGCGCAGCACTTTCTAATGCAAACATTCCTATGGCAGAATTCCGGATTTCTGCAAACGCGTACTATCAATATTCGATCAGAATTCGACGTTATCTCGAGGCAGGCATTACTCTCAGTAACCAAAAGTTCCTCTTTGACAATATCCGTGACCGTTGGAACCATCACCTGTCAAATTATGATAATGTTGATATAAAATATTGTATATACAAGATACACGAGACGTTTAAAAAATTTTCATTCTAAAAAAGATTACATTGTATCTGCGTATGTAAGATTTGTAACATTTGTTGAAAAATTATTAAGTGTTCTTGAGAGCATACACAAATCGATAGATATATTTTAAAATGTTGTTAATACTTCATCTCAACTGATTACTTTCAAGTATTAGGTGTTGAACTTAATTTCTCGCTGCTAGAGAATACTGACTCCAACGCTGGCGAGTTTCGACAATGAAGTCGTATGTCTTTTGTAGTTTAGACGTCGCAGAAGGTGATTCAATCCTCACAGATTAGATTTTTCGACGCCAAATTTCCAATCGATTGAAAATGAATCGCAATAAGCTGTTTTTCCGACATGTGCTTCTTCACTACTTCGACTTCAAGAAAACCGCAGCTGAAGCGCATCGCTTATTATCCGAAGTGTATGGTGATGAAACACCATCGGAAAGAACATGTAGAGTTTGGTTTGAACGCTTCCGAAACGGTGATTTTGATGTCAGAGACAAAGAACGTCCAGGACAGTCGAAAAAATTTGAAGATGTCGAGCTGCAAGAATTGCTTGATGAGAATTCAGCTCAAACGCTTTTAGAGTTGTCGAAAGCGTTAAATGTTACTCCAAAGGCCGTCTCAAAACGCTTGCATGCCATTGAAAAGATTCATAAGGAAGGGATATGGCTACCACATGAGTTGTCAGAAAATGCCATTTTGAATCATTTGTCTATTGCAACTTCTTTGCTTGCCAGACAAAGAAAAAAGAGTTTTTTTTGTGGCGCATCGTGATTGGTGATGGAAAATGGATTTATTTTGATAATCCCAAGCTGAAAAAATCATGGGTGGATCCCGGCCAACCATCCGCTTCAACGCCGAAGAGGAATATTCACGGGCATAAGAACCTTGCTCTGCATCTGGTGGGACCAAGAGGATGTGCTGTATTACGAACTCTTGTGTCCAAATGAAACCAATACAGCTGATCGCTACCAACAGCAATTATGCCAATTGAGTGACGAATTGATGCAAATAAAAAGATCATCCGTAGCCAACAATCGACGCAAAGTCATTTTGTTGCATGATAACGCTCGACCGCATGTTGCGAAAAGCGCGAAGCAAACACTTTTACAACTTGAATGGGAAACATAAAAAGAAACTAAAAAGACAAATTAAGAGTCAAAAAATTAAAAATTTTAAAAAATTTTTCTTTAATAACGTAGTAAAAAGATAAAAAGAAGTAATATAAATTCACATAAAAACATGACTAAAATTGAAGATATAAACGTGTGTACATAAATATGAAAAACAAGAACAAAATCAATACAAAAATAAAAATAAGCTTAATAATAAAATCTAGAAAACTTTACATGTTTCGACTCGTGGATTGAGTCTTCTTCAGAAGTAACCAACAGAAAAACATCGTATAGAAAAATCATTGATGAAAAATCCTTCATGTTTACCTATTAAATGACGAATTATGACGATTTCAAGCGGTAACAAATCATGACCATTTTAGTATCATCATCTCCCGGATTATTACAAAGAAGTCCAAAAATGGATGGATGAATGGATCGCCTCGAAAGACACCGCGTTCTACCGTCGTGGGATTGCCCTGTTGCCGGAGAGATGGGAAAAAGTAATAGAAAATGAAGAAAATTACTTTGATTAAGGTATTCGTTCATCTTCCCTTCGAAACAAATCAATTTTAGAGACGAAAAAACTGCAGGAATTAAGTTCAACACCTAATGTATGAAGAGAACAATTAATTAATTAATTAAGTAAATTATACTTTAATAGACATTGTATTTATAGTTAACTTTCAAAATTCGGAAATTAATCTTACCCTTGCTTATATAACGTAATCCATAATTGATAAGACAAAAAGGATTTAAAATAAAGAAGTAAAAATTTGCAATATTATATATAGGGTATATCACAACTACCGCATTTTTTCTCAAGAATATATTTTGTGTTTATTTTATAACGAGAATTTTAATACAAAAATGTCAAGGCTATAATAATTTTTAAATTAATCGCAATTAAATTTCGGTAGAATTAAATTTTCGCTAACAGAGTTGACATTTCACGCGCTCAGTATGACAAGTGGTGAATATATCACGAGGGCTCCATAAACAATGCAATATTTTTTAGAAAGTTGTTTGAAAAACATTTGTACATTTTTAATTATTTTAATTATACACACATGTGCATAATTAATATCGGAATTACAAAGTATATATGTGATTAGCGAAATTTAATTGTGATTAATGTAAAAACTATTACAACCTCGACATTTTTGTATTAAGATTCTCGTCATAAAATTATCTCAAAATACGTCCTTAAGAAAAAAAATGCGGTAATTGTGAGACACCCTGTATATATATTCAAAATAGAATCTTTTATATCTTATAAAAAGTTAAATTTTGCTTTACTTACCGAATATGTACTGTTCCGCACAAAGACATCGTTTATGTCAATCTCATAATCGATGATAGGACCTTTGCACGTAGGTGGACTATCGGTAGTTACCACCACAAGTTCTGCGTTAGACGATCTATTTAGTAAAAATGTTACGAGATTGTCTAACTCGCTTAACTGCGGCACGCAAGCCTTCCTACGACTGTCGAATACTGTGTCACGAGGACAACATTTTCTGATATATGCAAGCTGCGGGAGAGATGTATTAATTGTTTTCGGTCGATCTTTGTTCGATTGACAATGAACGACTATTATGGTGTTTTCTCCAGTTGCTTGCACATGAAGTATTTCAAGGCAAGCTGGCACCTACAAACAGTTTATCAAATTGATAAACAAGGATCTTTCGTTTTTATACGTTATATTTAAATTTGCCGTTTCACATAATTGATTACATAATTGTGATTAGTATACTTTGATTATATCACATGATAATAATAGCTACCATAAATACTATCAAAAGAATAAAAAATATCAAACGGGGAAAGGACAACGAGCCAAAGGTTAATAGATAATTCAAAAACGTTAGTAAATAAACATTATAATATATTAAATTCTAGCAAACAAACAACAAACGTTTCGATTCCTATCGGATCATTATCAATGTAAGATAACGTTAAAACAATAAAAATTAATGTTCGGTAACGCTAAAATTAAGTACAATGTCAATATATAATAAATAAAATAACAATGAAAAAAGAGTGTCGCTCGAAATTTAAAAAAAAAATATAAAACAGTTATTTAATTAGAGTTGAAATTAACGGTGTATGATTCCATGACAAATTCCTCTGGATATGTATTGTATATGCATGTTAGATGTATAAATTATTTCTGTTGAAAGATACAATTATATATATGATTAAAATATATGATTAAATATTATTTTAAATATAATGTAATTAAGAATATACATTACATAAAACTTTAATAGAAATTAGAATTTTTTAATATACATTTACACATTATATTTAATTTAACAGTCGCTAAATTAATAGGCTAAAAGAATAAAAGTATGTTATTTCTTTTTATAACTAAATGTAAATGAATATGTAAATTATAATAAGAAAGCATTTAGCTATTTCGCTATGGAAGAAAACTGAATGTTATATTCAAAAAATTGAAATATACTTTTGCGAATTAAAGGAACGATTAATATAATCATTTGAGGAAATGATTGATACCTTGACCTAAAAATTGAAAATTAGCAAAACGAATAGAATCGTAATTAAATAGTGTATTAAGAATTATATATATAACGTTAATATTAATTTACATAATTGAGATAAATCAACATAAGGATAAAAGTACTATTTTTAATTGTAAAATTTGTATTTTCTGATCTGTATTCAACGATAAATTTTTTATTGTATTTAGGAGGTGTCAAAGAATTTGCGGGTTATCGTTATGTCGTGACAAGTTTTTCATTTTTATTGTATATTTTATTAATTTAAAAAAAAGCGTTTTTCTTTTTATTTCTTTATTAAAGACACTTGACTTTTACTTTAAGCATCACGGTCATTTATCTTAATAAGTTAAAATCTCACCGCCCCGCGCGCGGTCCAAATGCCGCACGACGGTCGAGCGGCATTTGGTCTGTGCGCGGGACGGTGAGGTGAGGAAAACAGCGGATGGCGGAGGCGATTCGAAAATCGGCCGAAAGTTGCATATACTTTATGTATGTATATTCACTTTGAATTGGCATCTTTAATTAATAATATATCAGTTACTTTTCGTGGTAATACATTATTATTAAATAAAAAGGTTTAAATTTTTGAAGATCTTTTTTGAACATGGCTTAAACTTTTCATTTTTATGATATGATTTTTTTCGGATATCATTTACTTTTTAGAGTACAAATATATCACAAATATATAAAAAAATGATTTAAAAATATTATATAACAAAAGAGAGTGAAATACGGCGAAAGAGAGGGGTAGTGGGGATTGACGGTGGGGAAAGAGGGAGGGGGTGCGGTGGGTCGAAGTTGGTGGAGGTGTGAGTGAAAGGGAAGACAGGAGAGAGGTGGATATGACTGCGGACAGAAAAAGAAAGGAGACGTTACTTCATTTTTCATGAAAATCATCACTTTTCGACCGTTGGTATGTCTAGAACGGCTTGATCGATTAAAAATTTTTTTAGCTCAAATTACTCGTGACGATGCCGCCTTTTAAGACATATAATGTTCGATTAAAAATTTTTTATATATTTTAATAGTTATGCACACCCAAAAATTACCACTTTGGTGGCTCGGGATAAGAGACTTGTAGTGTCTTTCAGTTTTTAAACATGGCCGGAGACACTACCGCGTCTCCTGATAATAAAAATGAAGATTAAGATAAAATTAGAAACAAATGAAAAATGTTACTTTATTAGGAAAGACTGTAATTTATGTTTTATTCATTTTCTATCATCAATTTTTATGCATCCTGTTAGAAACATGTTTCTCTTTGTACTTCATCATAAAGAGGCTTAAACTCGTCAATCAAAATATCGCAATTTCAGTTAAAGATATTTTAGAAGATCAATTCATATATAATTTACCTCTGAGAAATTGTCGGAATCGAGATCGTCAAGCAGCGTTGTCATAAGATCTTCGGATTCCTTACATTTAGGAATTCCTTGAAACCCCATAGGGGTGTTCCAATTGTGAATATCGAGTTCTGTCACGTTCTTCGATACTGAAGTGCACTCTACGATGGAATGTCCTGAGAAGATTTCTCCTGGCGGGCAACATTTCGGCAGGTGTAACTTCGACGATACTTTTGTCGAGAATAACACCAGATCGATCAAAACAAACATTATTATGGTCATAATGGCGTAAAAATATAATTACTCGTTTATCTAAACGATCTCTCTCTCTATTACACTATTTCTAAGTCTTCAGACATCTTTCAGTGTTATGCTTCAAATTGCTATTCTCCGATTATTTCCATCACTTTGCAGCTACGTTTCAAAATTTTAACTCTAATTTTTATTACACTTGCGTTTCTCCTTTCTCTTTATACATACTATCGTGTCTCCAGATTTTATTTCAGTTTCTATGAAAATATAATTCACATGTCGTCGATTAACACTTGTTTAACTCTCTTATAAAATTTCACAAGTTTTATGCACAATTAAATTAATACTTGCTTATATCTGATTCCTTTCTTATTCATGTTTTGATTTTTCTTTTGTCTTAAATTACGTTTACGTCAGCTGATTCCAACAGCTGGTATTCACGTGAACGCTATTAAACGATAAACACAAGCCCAACGGAAGTAGTTGCTATCCGTTTAATGACAACTTGAATTATCTTTCCATTTAATCATTCTGTCTAGAAACTTACATTACTGCAATTTTAAGTTAAACTATCAACGTTCGATGTTAAGTTACAATTTTATATACATAAATCCATATATGATTATTTTAAAAAAGGTTTTCAACACTTATTTACGTTTCAAAACTAAAAAGACTTATATTACTCGTCTAGAGAAAATCTACAAATAAGAATTATTCGGTCGGAATCGAAAAGTTTCATCTAGTTTCAACTGAGAATATTTAATGTTTTACAATAAAAACAAGTAATTTATTAATCAAATTGTAATTAATGCTCGATTGAAAAACTACAATCCGACTCGACTTGCTTTCCTTTTAATCACTGATTCTTTTGTCTTCTTCGAGCAAAGTTGAACAAAAGTCTCTCAGTACACTTCTTCGTCCACTCGTTTGAATTATTCTGTTGTCTCTGTAAATAATCAAGGACACACTCGATCGATTGATTTTATAGCATTGCCCTGTTTATTACTAACGTGATTATCCTTCTACATTTATACCTTACGCGACACGCGTGCTGCGAACCCGAATGCACAGCTAAAACTAGTAGGACTACTCCGGACTGCTCTTCGCACGCGCTTCTCGAAGCGACGCAACTGAACAGATCAGCGTGAAGAAGTGAAACAAGAAACACTTCAACTGTATAACGTCTTGGCATAATACCGGATGCACCAGGAACCGCCTTCGCGAAAAGATTACCACTTCCACAATCATTCTTCATCTTCCTCTTTTCTTCGTTTCTCTTATTCACTTACTCATTCACTCATATATATACGCAGCCTCTTTCTCTCCTTCCTTACCTATATTTCTTTTTTCCTTTACGGTAACCTACTATGCGAATAATTTCCTGACATTGTATTTATCTATTAGCGACACTCAAATTTATAATTTATTTTTGTTACATTGAAGATGACCCGATCAGAGTCGAAACGTCTGTATTAAATTTTAAATTTATATTATACTTAATTTGAAAATTTTCTATTGCGTTTAGTTTTTGGCTCATTGCCCTGATTATTACTCCTATTGTTTTATACTTATTGAGCCTTATTTTGTATTATTTAAGTTGCGAAGTTTTATGATTAAATCATTTATTATGACATTATTTTATTATTAAATTAAAACCTTATAATAAAATAAAAATTCAAAACTACTATTTCTGCATCAAGTCTCTCAACATTGGAAATACTTGTAACGTTTTGATTACTTTACTCTGAAATACAAATTATTATTATATTAAATAATATGTGTTACATGTGGCTTAGAATATAAAATAAAATCAAAACAAAGAGCATATAAAGCCATAACGCTAGTTATGATTAGAGACCTTCTAACAGAGACTGGCCATCAGGCGAGTCCGGCATTTCCTAGCGAAATCCTACAAGTGAGAGAGAAATATAGGCCATTTCACTCTTTCACTCACACGAATATGTGCGTTCGTATGTGATCGTTTATTCAAGTTGATTTGAATTGATTCAAGGTTGTGTTCGTGGTTTTTGCTCAGTACAAAATAATAACAATAAAAATGAGTGGTTGCACTCATCAGACTGCACAATTCTGGAAAAATTATTTAATATCTGTCTTTAGTCAGGTTACGGCTAAACATGTTTTAAATTATCAATTGTTTCCTAAAATTATTAGAAAGTTTGTCGTATTCAAATTAAGAACATTAAGTAAGAAAAATACTAATATTAATAGAAGATATGACAGTAAATCATTGGCAGTACACACCTCTTTTAAATAAATTTTACAAATGTTAAGTGTTTGTACTTTTGTCACTGATTTCCTAACCTTACTTTAATTTTATTTGAAAAAGATTTAATAGAATTAAGAAAGAGAGAATATTAAATATAGAAATTATTTAACGTATAAATAAAAAGAACGAAGACAATATAAGAGTCAATGTTTAAAATTTAATAACAAAGTCAAAAATTAAATCATAAATGTCAAAAAACAGCTATTATAACAAAGTTATTTAAAGATAAAGATGTATATAACTAACGATAAAACTTGACATGTTTTTTTTTATTTGACGTATATTATTTATATTGATGTAAAAAGCACGGTTTTCATATTTCTATAATATTTATCATTACATACTATTTACATTCCAAGTAAATGCAGTAATTGAAATTTCAATACGAGCGGGAATCGCTAGGAAATGGCGGACCAATCAAAAGTGGCCCCCTGATGGCCAGTCTCTGTTAGAGGGTCTCTAACTCGCACCATGTCAGGGCAGCACCAGAGCAGAATCAGTGCATGTGTACCGAATTCGCCATTAGTCACATCTCATTACAGTTAAGGCGATGCTGGAGAGACGGCCGAACTTAATTGATGTCGGTAAAACAGGACATTTTCATGATGTATGTAATATTTTAATTGGAATTAAAATGTATGTAATATTTTAATTCCAATTAAAATATTACATACATCATGAAAGTATTTACATACATCAAGTAAAACATTACGTATATTAAATAAGCCATTAAGTAAAACGTTATGTACATTTCTTGTTTTCACGTCAATTTGTTGTTCTTGTCAATTTCACGTCAATTTCACTCATAGCATATCAACGAAATTTTTGGAGACTTCGTGCTCTTATACTAAAGCACCTAGCTCGTTTCTTCAAGCATAGTATTGTTCCTTGAGGATTCCTGTTGTCCGATTGATACCGTTTTTTAACGTGCAAGACCTGAAATTATTATATGCAGCACATATATGTGGCGAGTCGACTGTAGAAGTCGATAACAAAACTGTAAGTTTTTAATTTTTTTTCGTTTTTCATAATAAAATGAATGAAGCGGACTATGTTATTGTCGATACTTTAATTGCGGAGAAGGAATTAAGTTTTTCGATCCATAAAGGCAATTAAAAATGCGAAGTCTTCAAAAATTTTGGGTAAAACAGGACACTCCAGCATCTCCTTAAGGGGATGCTGTTTTACAGTTACCGACGGAACACTTATTTCGTATTTCTCGTGCCATTTCGTTTTCCTTATACAGAATAAAAAATCCTTTTCCAGAATAAAAGGGAAAACATAAACAAATCCGGAAAAGTTCAAACCGGTATGAGAATCCCTCAAAAATTACCACGTAGGTTCTTTCTTCACATATATATAAATGAATGTAAGAGCAAATGTCCAAACAAAAAAGGATTTTTCCGGATTTAACTAATTTATAAGATTATCATGAGACCTTCAAATTATGATTTTGAAGCTTACAAAAGAAATGGCACAAGAAATACGATTTAAGTGTACATAACCTCATATTCAAGCGATATATAAGATATAACAGAACAAGAAATGTACGTAACATTTTACTTAATGGCTTATTTAATATTGTACGTAATGTTTTATTTAATGTATGTAAATATTTTCTTGATGTATGTAATATTTTAATTGGAATTACAAATCTGTTTTATCGACATCGATTAAGTTCGGCTAGAGATCCTATATGGGCTAGATTCGGGGAGACGCTATTAGCGCTATTTGTTTCATTTTATCTTCGTCGTCCATTAGACGTGAGACAAGGACGTACCACACAAATGGCGCTAATAGCGCACTGCCCGAATGCAGCCATGGAGAGATGGGCCCATGATGTTGTGAAACCGGAAATCACTGATCTTGGAAATGCGCGCCAATATATCAACGCCAATTTCGAAACATCACATAACACTACTTGTTTATTATAACTTTGTTAACTCAAAGTTGTAATGAATAATTATTAGAGAAAGTTTATTTTTCGTAAATATAGAATTGTGGATAAAACAGACAAAATAGACAAAAACGTGCAAAACGTATTAAATTCGAATAAAAAAGTTGCTTTCCATTTACACACAGTGATACGAAATCTGAAGTGATATGAATATTTTATATTTAAACAATGACTTTACTACTTATTTATTTGGTGAAAACTTATCGCATAATAACACAGATTTCTAACCTCATATTTAATGTGAGTTAACAAGATTTGATAAATCATACGATCTCGAGTTTGTGCAGATTGTTGGCAAAAAGTCAATTGCCAGAATGAAAAAAAATAACAATTTAGGTTAATTTACATATAAAATGTATGTATGTATTTATAAATGAATTTTTATATATATTTATATATATATATTTTTTCCAAAAGTTCTAGTGATACATTTTTGATGATTTTAAACTTACTGTAAAAGAGACTCGTCTAAGTTAATTTTTGTCTCTGACAATACTTCTTATAATCATAAGCAGACGACGCTCCTCTCACTCTCACATTCGCTTCTTTCACTCTCACATCCGGTTTCACAACATCATGGCAGAGCCAATCACGGATCAGTCGGCATTGGCCCATCTCTCCATATAGGATCTCTACACCAGTGCAACCAGTAAAATACGCTATTAGATGGCAATAGTGAATTAAAATGACGCTTTGTTCACGTGATTCAGACAGCGAATTAGATCGTACCGTTGCATCTTTGTTTTCTAGTCCGTATTCGAAATTTCGAAACGCATTTTTATTGATAAAAGCGCGCTTTTATCTCTGAAATTCTATAGTATACGTGACGTAAACTATAGCATGTTAGCGCGTTCTGCATACGAACCTAGGTTTCTAGATTACGTGTCTTTGACGGGGACAAAGTGGGGGTTGAGTGGCACATGTGCATTGTGCATTGCGAACATTTGTGAATTTATACCTTTCTCTTTTGCACAGATCTTGGCTTCACGTTTGGTATATGGGTGGCATAGGCAATTCCGCTTCCAGTACTAATGTTCTACGATGTACCCACAATTTTGTCGCTCCAGCATCCCCTTATTTTACGAGAGATGGTGTTGCAATGTTAGATAAGATAGAGAGCTTATAATCAGAGTGACGACATAAGGAAGATTACGCCATGTTTTAGCGAAATTCTGCGAGAGAGAAAGAGATATAGGCTGCGTTCCGTTTCACACATATGCGCGCATTTTATATAGGGAGCGTCACGTATACTATAGGGGAATAGCTAAAACATTAATATAAGAAATGAATGAAAGATGTCACTATTATCGAATTTAGAACTAAAAAAAGTCTGTACTATTGACCTCAATTAAGTTCGGCCGTTGCTCTAGCATCCTTAAGACGATGCTGGACAGCCGAACTTAATCGATGTCGATAAAACAGATTTTTAATTCCAATTCAAATATTACATACATCAAGAAAATATTTACGTAAAACATTACATATGTACATTAATTAAGCCAGTAAGTAAAACGTTACGTACACTTCTTATTCTGATATATCTTATATATCGCTTGAATATGAGGTTATGTATACTCAAATCGTATTTCTCGTGCCATTTCTTTGTAAGCTTCAAAATCATAATTTGAGGTCTCATGATAATCTTATAAATTAGTCAAATCCGGAAAAATCCTTTTTTGTTTGGATATATGCTTGCATTCATTTATATTTTGTGTGTGTGTGTGTGTGTGTGTGTGTGTGTGGGTGGGTGGGTGTGTGAAGAAAGAACCTACGTGATAATTTTTGAGGGATTCTCATACTGGTTTGAACTTTTCCGGATTTGTTTGTGTTTTCCCTTTTATTCTGGAAAAGGATTTTTTATTCTATATAAGGAAAACGAAATGGCACGAGAAATACGAAATGAGTGTTCCGTCGATAACTCCAGCATCCCTTAGTTAAGGGATATAGTTGAAGTGAGATGTGACTAATGGCGAATTCGGTACACATGCACTGACTCTGCTCTGGTGTTGCCCTGATATGGTGCGAGTGGAGAACTATTTTGGCACTATGCCAAAAATGACGAATTCGGTAGACTGCACTAGTGCGCACTGAGTTGCGAACTTTTTCGGTACCACGCATTCGGAATGTGCGCAACGTATTAATGCGTTTAGATCAGAAGACATGGTAGTGTCTCCGGCCATGTTCAAAAACAAAAAAACACTACAAATCTCTTATCCCGAGCCACCAAAGTCCATTTTTGGGAGGTGCATAATTACTAAAATATAAAAAATTTTGAATCAAACGTTATATGTCCTGAAAGGCGGCATCGCCATGAGTAATTTGAGCCAAAAAAATTTAAAATCGGTCAAGCCATTCTGGAGATACAAGCGGTCGAAAAGTGGTGATTTTAATGAAAAATTAAGAAACGTACAGTACGCCGCTTAGTTCGGAAGAAAAAAAATAAATAGAACTAGTTATAGGCAGTAAAAAATTACAAAATGGTGGATAAAGAAAGACTAAAATTATTTATTATGGATAAATTATTAGAACCAAGTAGTAGTGATGATGAAATGGAATATATGTTACATTTGATAAAAAAAGAAAGGCCAAAAGTTAAAAGTTATATGGACATCGTGAATAAAAATTTGGACAAAGAGGTATATAATTACATATTATAAAAAACAAATACTTTTTATAATAAAAATATTTATGTTTACCATCATTAGTTGTAATATATGTTAGTATCGCACCAACTTAATACTGCACGAAGTCAGGTCAAATCAATCCAGTGTAGTTTTGCACTCGCACCGTGTCAGAGCAGAACCTATGTCAGGGCAGAACCATGTCAAGGCAGTACCATGTCAGGGGTCAGGGCAGTACCATGTCGGGAGTTAGGGTAGTACCGCGTCAGGGCAGCACTAGAAACGTATTAAATGCATATGTATCGAATGTGCCAAAACTGAATTCTGAATACACTGATACAGTGTGCACAAGCCGGATGTACGGCACTGAAAAAGTTCGCACTCAGTGCGCACTAGTGCAGTCTGTCGAATTCGGTATACAATAATACAAGCAATTAACGCTTTAGCGGTAGAATCATCGACATCTAGAATGGACCGCTGATGGTAGTGGTGGGGGTAAAAAGACAAGTAGAGTGAAGCACAAGACACAATGCGAGAGAATAGCGATAGCGATAAGTTTCAACCTATCAAAAATGTGAATTCCGGTGTATTCGATTTCTGATAAGTTGAAGCTTATCGCTATCGCTATTCCCTCGCATTGTGTCTTGGGCTTTTGAGGCAGAAATAATATGATCGTTTTTTCTTTGTTTACTGATAACTACTGATTACTATTGATTGTTGTTAATCCAACAACCAATCAAGCTTCAGTAAACAGAGAAAGAACAATCATATTACTTCTGCCTCTCACTCTACTCTTTCTACCCCTACCACTACCATCAACGGTCCATTCTAGATGTCGATGGGTAGAATCAGAGAGAAACCTAAGAGCGACCATGGCGGCCTTTTTCTTGTAATGCTTTACACTAGCGGCACCAATTTTCGAGCTGCGGGAACTACGTATGTACCACGAGAGCGAGCGAGACTCACTTGCTGGATTCACACTGCATCCGATTTTCGTCATACAACGATTCTGCTACCAATCAGAAAAATCGTATCATCGATACCAGAGAGAATCAAGGGAGAGTGGAGCGAATGCACCGGAAGTCGACATTTACCATATAAACCGAGATATTAAGCGTTAAAGTTGACAAAAGCTGTCACCAGCTGTTAGATCGGTCAGTCTGTTCTATGAGTATCTCACTTTAATACATGCACATTTGCGGAAGTGGAACTATAAATGGCGGAACCAATCAGAAGAGAGAACACTATCCGCTCCACTCTCCCTTGATTCTCTCTGATCGATACGAAGCAAAATTTTGTTTCCTGATTGGTTGCAGAGTCATTGTACGACGAAAATCGGATGCAGTCATGGTAGAAATACAAGGGTATGCTCATCAATTTTCTAAAACTCGTTCAGCTTGCGCATGTTCTTGCCTACGTCATATTCGGGTACGCGTTGATTGGTCGGTTCTGATTCGGGTGCAATCGGTGGTTATCGATCGTAATTTATCATGGCGTCCATGGCGTAGTGCACGTTGAGTAATAGCGTGCGGAAAAGATAGTGTAAATGTTCAAAGTGGTAAGTTGTACAATTCTTGTTATAAAAATTATATACTGTCGTATTTAATTAATAATTTCAGTTAATTTGACATTTTCGTTTGTATAGGTAGGATATGTTCTAACATTTTGATGATGTTGCTCGTATTTTTAAAATTGCCACTCGTGACGTAATCAAGAACAGAAATCTGGTTGGTCATGCGCATGAGCATACCTTTGTATTTATACCACGAAGTAAGAGAGTAAGAGAGAAGGAGACCGAACTTAATAGAACGCAAGCTGAAAAAGTGGTCCTGATTCGTGACCCCTAATTGGGAGGGAGTCCGCTGAAAGGAATGAATTCTTATGGTTGGGCGCCATTTGCAATTAACCTTACCCGAACAGTCCGGCCTGGCTTGCATCACGAAGTAAGAGCGTGCTTGTATTATACGGAGAGGTTAAGACTAAAAGTTCCAAAAAATTAAAAAAGGTAAAGATTTATAAGAATTAATAGTGAATTCGATCACTTGCACTACGCTAGATTAGTACGTACTAAAAGCTACTGTGTACGAAATTAGCAGAGTTAAAGCATATAAATAATTTAAACGATTAAATATTCAATAATATAATAATATAATATTCATTTTAATATTAAATATTCAATATTTCACCTTTTTTAATTTTTTGGAACTCTTAACCTCTCCCACGATCTCTTACTTTGTGACCTCTCCGTCTTTATGCAAGCAATGGATCAGGCCGGACTGTTCGGGTAAGGTTAGTTGCAAATGGCGCCCAACAATAAGAATTCATTCCTTTCAGCGGACTCCCTCCCAATTAGGGGTCACGGACTAGGACCATTTACGTTTCACAGAGTTCGATCTCCTTCTCTCTTACTTCGCGATTTATACCATGGATGCAGTATAAATCCAGCATCAGTCTCGCTCGCTCTCGTGGTACATACGTAGTTCCTGCAGCTCGAAAATGGATGTTGGTGCCGCTAGTGTAAAGCATTACAAGAAAAAGGCCGCCATGGCCGCTTTCAGGTTTCTCTCTGATAGAATCAAACATTCATGTTTCATCATTTACAACTTGATTCTAAAACATTATCTCAAATAAACATTTTTTGTAACTCATTTGATACATTTTTCATTAGAACTTATATACTCAAATTCGCCTAATTATTTACAAAATATACAAATTTTACAGAGAAAAATTACTCACGATATTAAGTAACAGTTTACAAATAAGTTTTTTATTTAATAATATACGTTTTAATTGTATTAGGTGTCGCATTAGCATCAATACGACATAAAATTCCTCGATTTCGTGCATCAGTTAACAACGCCTTCCACATACGATCTTTCTGTAAAACAAAAATTTAGTAATTATTTTAAACTGAAGGAATATAAAGAGTAGCACAAACCAGAATAATTTTCTTCGTACTCTAATTGGAGGAGGGAGGATTATACTTTTAAATCTAGAAGAATAATCTTATCTTAGCAAAGAAAACTTTCAACAATTACAAAACCATTGTGTTGAATGCGATTAGTGGGTGTATCCAGTAATGCAACCACTCACTGCTTTCAGAATTACAAAATGCAAGATTATTTTTTGCTTACCATGAAAGTATTAAAATTTCCACATAATATTAGACTATGTTTAGCTCTTGTAAGTGCTACACAGAGTCTTTGTTTATCTGATAAAAATCCAATACCATTACTTCTCACACAGGACATTATTATGACATCTCGCTCTTGACCTTGAAAGCCGTCGACCGTATTAACTTCAAAAGTAATTTTCTTTTTTACATCATCCGGTACAGAAGATATCCTATAAAAACATATGAATTGTAAATTTAAAATTTTTTCACAGCTTACGAAAATTGTTTTTGCACACACGTACTTTTCATTTATTTTATTTAGTACAAGAGTTCTTTGATTGTTGTATGGTGTGAGAACTCCAAGAGTAATAGTGGTACTTGTTGACTCCCATTTAGCAAACGTCAACATAGTATAAATTATATTCGCCACAAATTCTGCTTCAGTAGTGTTGGAAAATTTATCATTGTTCTGAGTGAAGTTATGATTCAAAACTCTGTAGGCATGAAATGGGAATTTCATTCTATAATCGGTAGCGTTCTTCAATTTACCACCATAGAAGTATCTATTAGGCCAATACGAAATCGCATATTCCATACGATACTGCATGTTCAACATTATAATTGGACTATTTGATTGAGACTCGAAGATGTTTTGTATCCTAGAAAATACTGATTGATCTAATCCTAACTTCTTCGCTCGCTGACTTAGAATGGTTGCTGGTAGTTGATTCGGATCACCCACTAGAACTAATGTATTCACTCCCAACATCAACGGTATCAAAGTCTCTGCTTCGCAGCTCTGTGTTGCCTCATCAACAATGCATACAGATATCCTTTCCTTGTGACCACCAAAAAGCGATTCCATTTGATTAGTGTAACAAGACGAAAGTGTACAGGCAATTATATTGGCACCCTGAAGAACTATGTTTTCCGACATACGCTGGTATTTGGCGCGCTCCTTTGGATTGATATTGTCTATCGATTTATTATTAAATTTCATAAGTGCGTATTTTACCTGTGTTTCAAATAGTTGCCTATTGAGTGAATACCTTTTTTCTTCATGTATATTTTGGATGTTTTCAAGTTCGGTTTTAACCGAATTAATACGCGCCAGTAAACTTGATAGATCTTCAATACAGTTATCCGTTGTTACTTGTTTACCTATATTTGTTAGGTGGCGTTTCGCTATTTGTGATACAGAAATGTCTTTGGCCAATGGATGCATAGACTCTAATCGACCAATGCGTACCATATTAAAACGTTTTTGTTTTAGGCTAGACCTAACATTAAGAAGCCTTTTTACGATTTCATCAATAGCAGCGTTAGACGGTGCGCAAACCAGAATTCTTAAAGATTTTTTGTCTTGACATCCATATAATATTTGAGTTACTAGATTTACAATAACTTTAGATTTGCCCGTCCCCGGTGGACCTTGAATAAAACACAGTTTGGCCTCTTTTTTTAGCACAGTATTCGTCACTCGAAATACAGCCTCTAATTGTTTCGGATTTAAATCATCTTTTGTTACTAGTGAAGAAGACATAAAGTGTTCATCTAGTGGTGGTAATTGATAGTCTTCAATCTTCGGATTCACAATTAACTTTGACAGGGACGAATTAGGGAGATATTGTAATGCTTGCACCATTCTGATATTTGATCGCAAATACGTGACCGTTCGAAATCTTTGCACTCTATTTACGATGATATGTTTAAGAGGTCGTGTCAATACGGTGTACATTATAATTGTATATGGATTTTTTACATATTTCTGTAAATCTCTGTTATAAGACGTGGAGTCTGTGATAACAATATATTGCATGTTGGTAACGTATGCGAATATCTTGTGAAAAGTTTGTTTACCATGTTCATTTTGGACATACTCAAAGTATGTCAGATCTCCGTAAATAGGATATCTTTGATTATTTAGATCTTCTTTATTGACTAGCACTTGAAGAGTCAGCGTCGACAAGAATAAATTAGTCGACGGTATAGGGGTTTGCGTAATAGAATTCTCAACTATAGAGCACATTACGGTAGTACGCTGCATATTCTTCTCAACCATTTCGAAATCTTTAGTCATGACACACCATATCTCGAGTAATAGAAGAGGCATCGCGACATCATAATACTGTTTATAAGAATCGTAAGAAAGTCTCATAGCCTGAAGTTCACCTAACATTATTGGTGGTTCGCTTTTTAGATAGCGCTGCTCTTCGAGCCACACAGGATTCCACATAAAAATGCAAAGTAGGAACTCCTCCAATCTCCTCGGGCTCCAATCTGTATAAGTTACAGGTTTTATTAATTTATTTGTAGGTATAGGTGCATCTTTTCCTCCCAATTTGTTTAAAGTATTGCCTGGGTCGATATCGTACTCGTGTATTTCGAATTTGTCAGAAAAGGTCACTTTTTTATTTATCTTCATTTTTATTGTCGATCTTATGCTTGACTTTAAAAGCTCCGATTTCGAACTGTTTGGTGCAAAATTTTCTTTTTGTACTACAGAACTAGATTTAGTTGATTTATCTTGCAATTCTGACACTTTAACAGTGGGATCTATATCAATGTTGCTCTTTTTTATATGCTTGCTACTACTACATTGCTTTTTATTATCATTGGTCGCTACACAATCCAGTGTATTTTTCTCAGATGCAGTTTTTATATTATTTAAATATAAGGATTGTTGCAATGATGCAGCAATGTTATTTACTGTATCCTTAAAAAAGTCTGTTTTTTTATTTTTCTGTGTTTTCTTGTCGGAAATTGTGGATTCTTTTAATACATTAGTTACATTTATTGACTGCTTCTTAGATTTTAGCAATTCTGTAGATTTATCTGGAAGCGATTTAGATACTCGTGGTTCTTGTTCAGTAAGAAAATCACCACGAGTTTTGAAGGATATTTTAGCTCTCGCTTTATTCCTACGTTTCATGCTTTGGTCGTTTTCAGCGGCTAGTTTCTTTTCTACAGCAATCTCCTTCAATTTCATCTTTCTCTGTTCGATAATTTTCTTTTTTTCATCCTTAGAAATTGATCCAGATTTTATTTCACTTAACGAGGAACTGTCAGTTACTGCTTTAGATTTTTCTTTGCGGTCCATACTCTTTTTTTGTTCCTTACTACAGAGATTATTGTTAAGCCTTTCTGTTAATTCCGACACGCGCTTTTCTTTTGTTATTCTTGATTGTGAAATTTCTTGTACTTTTGTTGCTTTGTCTTTGTTATAATCAGGTCGTCTTCTTCTTGTAGGTAAATTTAATGGTTCTATTATCGAAATCTGTCTTTTTGGGGATTTTGCAGATAATTTTTGTTTTATACTTTCTAACGTTTGCTCATTTTTCTGTACATCTTGCTTCATACTTGTTTTCTGTTTATTTTTATCAATATTGGTATCAGTAATCTGTTTGCTTCTATTAATATTACTATTAAGATCATTAGAAGAGCTTAGCTCATCTATGTCCATCGCCTTCATTTCTATGGTCGGTGTAATTATTTTTTGTTTTTCAAGTTCTGTTTGTTTAGGTAATTTTATATCTTGTTTCATACTTGTTTTCTGTTTATTTTTATCAATATTGGTATCAGTAATCTGTTTGCTTCTATTAATATTACTATTAAGATCATTAGAAGAGCTTAGCTCATCTATGTCCATCGCTTTCAGTTCTATGGTCGGTGTAATTATTTTTTGTTTTACCAATTCTGTTTGTTTAGGTAATTTTAAATCTTGTTTCATACTTGTTTTCTGTTTACTTTTATCAATATTGATATCAGTAATCTGTTTGCTTCTATTAATATTACTATTAAGATCATTAGAAGAGCTTAGCTCATCTATGTCCATCGCTTTCAGTTCTATGGTCGGTGTAATTATTTTTTGTTTTACCAATTCTGTTTGTTTAGGTAATTTTATATCTTGTTTCGTATCTGTTTTCTTTTTGTCATCAATATTGATATCAGTAATACGTTTGCTTCTATTAACATCTCTAATATTACGATTATTAGAAGGACTTGCCTCGTCTATATCCATCGCATCTACTTTTGTGGTCGGTGAAACTGATTTTTGTTTTAAACTTTTTGTTTGATTTAAGAACTCTAAACATTCTTTCGCATCTGTTTTCTTTTTAATATTAATTTTTCTATCATTAATTTCTTTGTTTTCATAAATATTTCCTGTACTAAAGTCATTAGAAACACTTGCCTCGTCTATATCCATCGCATCTACTTTTGTGGTCGGTGAAACTGATTTTTGTTTTAAATTTTTTGTTTGTTTTAAGAACTCTAAACATTGTTTCGCATCTGTTTTCTTTTTAATATTAATTTTTCTATCATTAATTTCTTTGTTTTCATAAATATTTCCTGTACTAAAGTCATTAGAAACACTTGCCTCGTCTATATCCATCGCATCTACTTTTGTGGTCGGTGAAACTGATTTTTGTTTTAAATTTGTTTGTTTTAAGAACTCTAAATATTGTTTCGCATTTGTTTTCTTTTTAATATTAACTTTTCTATCATTAATTTCTTTGTTTTCATAAATATTTCCTGTACTAAAGTCATTAGAAGCACTTGCCTCGTCTATATCCATCGTACCTACTTCTGTGGTCGGGATAATTAATTTTTGTTTTATACCTTTTATTGTTTGTTTATTTAGTTCTAGATCTTGTTTCGTATGTGTTGTCTTTTTCTTTATAACATTAATATTGACATCATTAATTGATTTGTTTGCATCAATACCTCTTGTGCTAAGATTATTAGAAGCACCTGCCTCGACTACAACCATCATACCTACTTCTGTGGTCGGTGGAGTTAATTTTTGTTTTACTCCTTCTATTGTATGTTTATTTAGTTCTAGATCTTGTTCGGCATGTGTTTCCAGTTCCTTATTTTTATTAGTATTGATATCACTAATTTGTTTGCTTTTATTAATATGTCTCGTACTGGAATTATTAGAAACGCCTACATCGTCTACATCCATCGCATCCACTTTTGGGGTTGGTAAATTAGTATTATAATTATTTTCTTTGTTTTTAATTTTGGAATTAAAAACAATGACACTTGTACGTGATTCAAAAGGTATTTCTTTATCACAAGATATTTCTTTATTACAAGGTGTTTCTTTATTACAAGAAATCTGGGAAATACACGGTATCTCAGACGATTCGATATTCGAAAATTCATCATCCCAAATACCTAAATCAATTTCATCCTTTATAACCGAATCATACAAAACAGGTTTTATATCTTCGTTGAGTAACTGACTTCTAGATAATCGTTCCAACCACGGATTATCTTCATCTTCGCTGTCTGTTAAAATAATGATCTCGTCGTCGATATTTAGCAGACCAATTTTTTCAGTGTTTGGTTCATCATCATTGGTACATTCCTGTTTTATTTCTCTCTTATTCTCTATATTACCGTCATATTTGATATCAAATAATTGGGAATATGGAAATACTCCTTCTTCATTGTCACTTAAATCGACAACATCAATCTCCGAAAATTGCATTTTCGGTTCATGTTTTATTTTTTTAATCCGTGGTTTGTTGCAAGTTACATCGCGTTTAGATATGTCTGTTCCTTCATCATCTGTTATTTGTAATTCACTTTCATATTTAGTTTGATCTGCTTTATGTACAAACTCTGAATTCTCTGTAAAATATAATGCATTGTTTTATTAATGTTATTCTTATACATTTTCTAATAGAGTTTTACTTGTACCTTTATTATTAACATCACCTCTGTTGCTACTCTCAACACCAGAAACATCAATTTTGTCAACAAAATCTGATTTATTGCCATTTAAATACTTTGTAGATTTCAAATCGTATGTCATAGTGTTCTTCCCTACATCTTTTGCTAGCGATGCATGTATTATTTCAATATCATCATCTGCACTTATATTTGTTACATGTCTGATTTCTAAATTATTAGTAGTATTGCTGTTATAAAGAATCTGATTTTCATGAGATAAATTAGACTCAAAACCTGCAACAAAAATTTAAATAATTAAAAGATTTTTTACAGAATATAGTAAATTTATTTCTTTTTTACTTATTTATCAACATAAGAATTTAATCGTAATTTTCACAGATTTAGATTTAGATTTATCTTTACTTCAACGTTACATCGTTAAAATTTAATATATGTCTTTCAACATATTATTAAGATCCAATAAGATGCTATAGGCATCAAAATTTGTTAGATTGATTGTCAATTTAACTAAAGTGATATTACTGCGGTAGTCAATACGTATGCGTCAATGCTGAAAATCCATCAGCGTCGCGAGGAGAACTACATACGCGGTACATAAATTCACACAATTATAATTAACATTAACATCCTGTTACAAGACTCGATTAGGCATTTTCACTTTCTATGATTTATAAATCTTACGAGTCTACGGATATCATCAACATATATAAGAATTTACCTTTTGAAGAACTAGAATCATATGCAAGTATATTATTACACATAACATTTGGTTTTTTATTAGGTACTGTCATATCACAACTTAAATTAGATCCGCATCTTTTTTTAAAATCATGAATTACATGAGGTATGTTTTCTTGTGGTGTATCATTATTTGAAACTGTCTCTGATAAGATATTAATTTCTTCTTCCTCATAAAGGATAGGTGACTAAAAAGAATTTAATGATAAAGATTTAATAACAAATATTCAATTCGTACAAAAATATTATGTGCCATTCTGAGAATATCCTACCTTAATGATGCAAACTTTAAAAACATACAATCCTTCATTATTTAAATCAATTTCAGGGCAACCAATCCCAATAATATCATTCTCATGTAATTTGACTGTATGTTCACACTTTTTTTTATCACCATTGATATAAATGCCATTTGAACTCTGGAAAAATTAAGAATTAATATTATTTAATTTACACACAAATACATCAGAGTGAGAGAGGAGAGGGAAGAGAGGATGGAGGGGGAGAGGGAGAGGGAGGGGGAAGGGAGGGA